TTCTGGTGCACAAAAAGTCAAAAATGCCCCTAAAACAGCAAATGTGTGAACATCCAGCACTTTAGATTATGACAGCATGTGCACCAGGGAGCAATATGATTATGATCTTTTTTTTTTTGTCTATTTTTTTCTATTTCAGCAACATTTTGCAGGTTAACCTGCAAACACCTTAGAAGTACTGATGTTGACTGAAAATGCCTTTTGATTACTCTGGAGATAAAAGGAGGCTGTCGAAGCCTCTGTCCAAAGATTCCTGCTGCAACGGAACCACTTTCCACAAATATACAAAATATTATAGGATAATCTATACAAAAAATAATATGAAACCTTAAAAAACAAACAAACAAAAAAAAAACATTTTCTTTGTTATAAAATATTCTATCCTTTGCTGCAGGACATGCTTTCGTAGTGCAGACCTGTTCAGCAGTCAAACATATTTAAGGACCCTAAAGACTAGATTTCAAATTCTACATAAATCCTGAGTAACAATAAATACTCAAGTCTAAACAAGAAATAATGTAAATTACTTGCAAAATAAAAGCAAAAGAAAAAACAAAATGAAGGATATACACCTGAAAAACGTATCTGCTCCTAGGACTATGTGAATGTGGTTTAATAATTTGATCATCAAACAAGCCCCCAACTCTAATCAGATTCTGATTCTAAATCCTTACTGGTGCATGGAAATACTTGACATCTCTTTTTCCATCTTAGCCTCGTCCACTTCAACCTAATAAACAGACAGGGCCTTTTAATTGTCCTACTATTGTTGATGTGTGTACTGTGCAGCTGTACTGAAAAATTACCAAAAAGTCAGAGAGGTTTCATTCCAGTGACGTGCGGTCAGGGGAGGCAGGGGAGGCAGAGCCTCACCATCATGGAAAGAAAAAAATCTATAATGATAAAATAATTTAAATGGTTATATTTATCCAGTGATTTGTACTATAAAGTATTTATTTTTTCATTTAGCCTCGTCAATTTTGAAAAATCGCTGAATTTTCGCAATTTCCCATTCAAATACTTGGAAGAGAAGCCGGTGAGGCAGCAGCGAACCAAGCCTCACCCTGGATTGTGCAATCCCTCGCTAACTCCGCTGGCTGCCTGCAGTGACAGCGTGCTGCTGTCTGTATGTCGCCAATAACATGGTTCAAACACATTTAATATATGAACTGATTTTCCATAGTTCAGCTGATGTGTATAATAATGTACAGTGTTTTTTGCTACCAACTGTATGTGTGTAATGTGTTTTGTATGCTGAGCGATCATAAACGGCTGACAAGAGGTTCTAGGTGAGGCAGGCAGTTCTCTTGCCTCATGGCAGGGGGCGCTCTGATCCCAGACATGCTTCTTGTGACTCCGTGGCTGCAGAGTAAGTGACAGCAAGCTAGACTAGGTACGGTATACAGTTAGCAGGTCAAGTGCAGCGAAGGAAGATAAGGAGACTTTTACAAAAAAAGTAACGGATATTTTTGTCCAGAAGGAGCGGAGCATGGACTTCATTTAAACGTAAAGGTAAGACCGCAATAACTAAAAAAGAAAAAGAAACATGCGTTTTGTGGGCTACCGCTTGTATGTGTAAAAATGCAGATATGAAACATAACCCGTAAACTGCTGCCAATTAAATGGCAAATATGCTACTGTGTAGAGTGCATGTATTTGTAAATCAGATTCTGATGAAGTCAGCGCCTCACCAGCCATGAACCTCACCACACGTCACTATTTCATTCTTACCATCACAGAACATAGATCAGGACTGGGGTGAAAATGTAATTGGGACATCACTAAATTTAACAAAATTTCTCTCTGAACAAAATGCATTCATTTTCTAATGCAGTAAACGTCTTCATCTGAGGTTAAATTGAATTCAAGCATTGCCTCTGTTATACAGAGGAGCAGTGTCACTTAATACATCATTTAATTAATCCTTCAAGCATAGACAAAGCATACAAAACTGCTTCTAAAATAATATATGGTATCAACCATGTGTCTATAAGACTTAAGAACAGACAGTAAACTCAGCTTCAAATGTAAAATAAATAATGTAAATAAACCTCTGTGCTCAACTGGATTGTATGTCTTAGAGGTAACATTCATGTCAGTCATTTTATGGTATTATAGTGGCATGCTATTAGTTACTCTGACTGTACTTTAATTTTGTCTCTGAACATGTACAGTTTTTGGTAAGATTGTACTTTTTTAAACTGCCTTTGACCACCAGATGTCTTCAAAAGAGTTCTAAAGCTTCACTTTCTGATTTCATTTTTTAAAAAGTAAAAAAAAAAAAAATATATTATGATACGTTTACAGCTGATTGTCAGAGTTTCTGAAGACCACTCTGAAGCTTCTCTGGAGTTGAATCATTTTTCTTTTTAAAAAGATTTTTGAGCTTTAAGGATTTCTTGCTCTTCTCTTTTTCCCCGATCTTCCCCTCTCCAGTCTTAGGGGGCAATGCTGGAGTTGGGACGACAACTCTTGGTGGTTGCAGTGGTGGCTCCACCTCTGCCATCAGTCTGCTATGAGGCAGGTTAGGGGTTGAGGCAGAGAGACTGGTTGAGGGTGAAGCCGTGGAGTTGCATGACTTTTCAAGGATTCCATCATACACAAGCTGGCTCAGCGGGCCAGCAGTGAAAAGGTCTGATGATGACTTCCATGGCACCTGGGAAGTTACCATGAGATCTGGCTGTCCAGTTCGACCTGGAGATAAACTTGATTCAGATGCTCCCAACTCTTCCCTTAGTGTTACTTGTTTGGGTATTTCAAATGGAACATCAACTCTATCCCAGGAGATTTTTCCCGTGGGAGTGTCAATGGAACTGTCATCTCTTGGCATTCTTGGTATTCTCCTTCTGAGAGAGCCAGCAGGCATCTCAAATTCATTTCTTAGTATCCTTCTACTTGTTGATGGCTCCAAACCAAGCTCTTGCTTTTCTGTAGAGGATGAGGTATCTAAAAGTGCTTCCAGTTTCTCTCTGGGTAGCAGCTTTAAGGAAGCAGTATCTGCACAATACTCCAGCTCATCTCGAGAGATCTTTCTTGGTGGAGTTCTAGCAATCTCAACCATCTTGTCTTTTGCTAATATCCTCACAGAGGAATCAAGCTGGCATTCTCCTTTACTCCAAGGAAGCTTCCGAGAACTTGTGTCTTGAGACATTCCCATTGTATCTTTCGTAATCCTTCTGGAGTCAAACAGACGTTCAGCGTCATCTCTTGCCATCTTTCTTGAGGCACTGTCCATTGAAACCCCCATCATATCTCTTGATATCTTCCTTGGTGTTGCATCTATTGAGGCTTCAAATTCATTCCAAAAAATCTTTCTCACATCCAGTGGTGAATTGTTTCTTTCTCTGTATGTATTCCTTGGTGGAATTTCCATCAAGTCCCCTATTGTATCTTTCTCTATTTTCCTGACTGGAAACTCTGCATCCAACTCATTTGAAATGCCTTTTCTTAGTGCAACATCTATGGGAACTTCGCTCCTGTCTCGCAGTATCTTCCTTGGTGTAGCATCTAGGAGGGACTCTTCTGCAGACATCTTTAAAGATGAGGTTTCCAAGGAAGTATCCAAGGCTTTGTCTTTTGCCATCTTCCGGTAGGCAACATCTACAGATGCTTCAAGCTCTTCCACTGAAATTTTTCGAACTGGAGATTCAACGACAGCTTCTACTTCTTTATTCAGAGGCTTTGTAATCGGGCTATCTGCAAACAGCTCAGTTTCATCATGATAGAGCTTTCGAGAGGAAGCATCAACAGTGGAACTTGGAAACATTTTGCTGAGAGGAACTGAGGGTATATAGTCTGAGTCTGAGAACCTCTCTTGGGAATCCCTATTAGTAAGAGAAAGGAAGAATAAAAGAAGAGGTTGACGAGAGGAAATAATTAAGGAGTGAACAAAGATGGTATCAACACAAGTGTTGCTGAAAGGTGTTTAAAATAAGCAATGTGTAAAGCCAAAGTGGCCTTTAAAAGTTGTGGGCGGGGAGACGTACTGTTTTTTCAGAGTTTTCAGGAAGAGCCCCTCCTCATCATCATAGCAAGGGTAAGGGGCTCGGATGGGGATGAGAAGGTCGGGGTCTGAGGAGATCGTGGTGGCTGGTGGCTGAGTGATGACACCGGGACGACGTGACCGACGTATGGTGGATCCCTGTGTTCGAGGAGAACGCTTAACTGGAACTGGAACTGGAACTGTGGGGAGGCCAGAGATTAAACAAAGAGCGAAACTGATGAGTCCATATGAAACAGACAGTGGTGTAGGGGCAGTTACATATACGTACCACTTTTTTTTTATCCCTAAAGGCATGGCAACATCAGAAAGTGGCACAGCAAAATTTGTTGCTGACTCATTTCCTTTAACAGTGCACAACAGAAGTGACTTTAACATCACATAAATGTTAAATGATTTAAAATTGTCACCTTAAAGTAATTGCATTGTTTTTGCATAGTGTGTTTGCTTTTATGCAACATTCAAAACTAACAGATTGGATTTACAACATTAGACGGGTTGAGTTGGTTTACCTATTTATTTCAGTTGCCTTAAATATGTTCTGTAGGATTCAAGTCAGACAGAATACTTGGCCAAATCATAGCTTTCACTTTTCTCCTCTAGAATTTCTTGTGCCAGTGTGCCGTAGGTAGTTATCATGATGAGTAATTGTATCGAACAATCTATAAATGTCATCTACCCAACGCCTTTTGCTCTCATGCAGTCACATATCATATTCCCACTCAGTGCTTCACTATCAGGACTATGCATTCCATGTGGTCGTCCTGGTCAGGCTTATGGCAAACATGCCAAACCCCATTTGAGCCGAGCGAATGGATCTTGGTCTTGTCTCATGAAATAATGTACTCCCTACATTATTTAGGCATATTTTCATATTCTTTCGGAAAGTCAATTTTTGCAGTTTTGTGCCAAAGAGAATTGAAAGGTTTTTTTCTTGGATGCTGTTCATAGAAGCCTATGTTATGCAATGTCTGGAACTCAGATTTCCACTAAAAACCCCTGTCCCAAGTCTAATGCACTTGCCCATTTTTCAAGACTGATTGTGAAGGCAGCGCACTGTGTAGCATCACTTCAGGAGGACAGCAACTACAGCTTTGATTAATGGTGCTAAGGCTCATTCTGTATGCTATAAATGTGTTTTGACTGATTTTTAGTTGGTCATTGACCAGCCTGTATCATTTTTCATATTTGTGATCATAGTCAAAATCCTCCAGCAATCCTGTTCAGTGTGGAGTCATGATGCAGACAGACACACCTCCATGCTTCACTGTCAGGACTATGTATTGAATGTGGTTATCCTGGTCAGTAAGTCAGAAGTTAAGAACGTTCTGGTGTTCTATGATCATTTTAGAACTATGCATCCATTTCCATGTTTATGCACTTTTTTATCCTCTGTAGGGTCACGGATGGGCTGGAGCCTATCCCAGCTGCCTTAGGGCGAAGTCAGGATATACCCTGGACAGGTTGTCAGTCTATCGCAGGGCTACGCAGAGAGACAAACCAGCACACTCACATGCACACCTACGGACAATTTAGAATCAGTGGAAGCCAGAGAGGCCAATTTGATCACGTGTATTCAGTTTTATTTCACAGCTTATATATTTTCTAACTTATGTATCAGAAATCACAGTGTTCACTTTTGTTGCAATGAGTTTCTACTATAGAGTCTGTATTTTTCATACAGTCTTTTATGGACACCATACATGCTATGGTTGTATCCCACATACATATTGACAAATTAAGAAAAAAAAAAAAAACATGTAATGAGTGGAGAACAACTGAAGTTGTTTCCATACAAGACAAGAGTGGTCAATCAAGGATTAGATGATTACAAAAACTGTACAAATTACATTCTACCACTTTTAGCACCAGGTGCCAAACTGACTGAACACTCAAAAAACATTATCTCTGTCTCTTACCTGGCATCTGTGGTAAGATTGGAGACTCCTCTAAGAGATCCTCTATAGATCCATGCATGGAGCTGTGACATGAACAAGATGACTGGGGCATTCGAGGCAACCCCAGAGCAATTGAGTCTGAGTAGAGCAGGGCAGTAAGGTTTGCTAGGCCAGAATTCCTGATGATGGGGAAGCCACAGAGGAGCTCAATCTGCTGCCAGCGATGAAGGCGCTCCCGCAGGCAGGCCGTTACTTCAGACAAGGCATTCCTTTGGATGATATAAAGACATGGTGATTAGATATTACATATTTATTATGACAGACAAAAACAAAATCTGCACAGGTCATTTTGTGACTCACTTTGCCTCCAGGATTTTGTGGTCAACCTGGTCCAAAGAGGAGCTGTGGGCCACATGGAGTGTTCCCAACACAGAACTCCTCTTCTTCTTAATCCTCTCTGCCTGCACGTAAGCACAGGCGCAAACTAGTTTGAAGGCATGTAGGTAGGAATTGTACAAATTGGCTCCATTCATAAATATGTTTTTCATTTATATATACTGTTTGTATGCATTACCTCTTCCTTGGCAGTAGCAAGCTGCAGTTCAGCACTCTGTTTTTTAACATTGTAGTACTGAACCTCTACCTCATGTGTCAGCTGCAGCCACTGCTGAAGAACCTCTGAGGCAGTCCAACTAGCCTGCATATCCTTCTCAGCCTGCTTCAGTGCTCCACGGACCTGGAGAAGTAGCATCAGATAAATGTTAGAAATCAGTGGGTAGAAGAACACAGTTAAGCGTAAATCCTTTACATCTTTAAACCTTTCCAAACAAAGATGACAGTGCGTCTACCTGCTCCAGCTCCTCTTCTGCATATCGCAGGCGGCTGAGCTCACTGACCGCTCCCTGCCTCAGCTCGTGCAGACGGTAAGCTTCTTCCTGTGCCCCCATGATCTCATCTCTCATCTTCTCCTCCAGGTTCTGTTTCTCCTCCGCCACATTACGCTTTTCCTCCTGGGCTTGCTCCAGTCTGAGTAAATGAAAATACTTTTAGTTCAAATATACAAATCAAACTCAATTTGGTAAAGGCAAGCGACTGACAAAGAAAAACTACTGGATGCTTACTGCTCCTGTAGGTCTATGAGGCTCTGTTCAGCCCTCTGCAGACTTTCTAAATCCTTCATCATCTTGGCTATGTGGACTTTGCTGGCTTTGTTCTGGGCCTGAGCAAACCAACAGCCTCCGACTCCCATCACCACTGACACAATGAGTAGCAGGTCCTTCATGTAGTTATGAGGGGGGCCTTTGATTGAATGAAAAAAACGATCATTGACGGTAGCTGTACCATGCAGTACATACACTCACTAACCACTTTAGTAGGTAAAGCTGTGAAATCTAATGAAATTTTAAGTTTTTGTTGATGTTTTCAAAAAGCTAATAATTCTACTGTATGTTTGTTATTGAAGTCTTAGTGGGTGGTGGTCTACTGCATCATATGTAAAAGTGTACCCACTTCCCGTTTGTTAATGGAGTGGACAAGATATTAGGAACAGAACAAAAATGTGAGCAAATTTAGCAGTTGTGTTCACTGATCAATCCATTAATGCTGACTTTAAATGAAAGGTTTAGGGAAACTACTGGAGCTTATCTGAGAAACAGTGAAGATTTAGTAGGATTGTACGACAAAGAGGCAATAGGCAAACCAGGAACAAATATACTAAAGAGACATATGAGTAGGGAAGGAGAGAGCAGGTGATTTGTTCTTACGTGTAGGTGGTCCAAACAGAACCACATCCAGAGCTTTGATGTTGAGCTTCTGTTTATCTCTCTGGTCCTGAACTCTGAGCTGGATGCTCAGAAATGAAGGTTCATTAGCTGCAATCCTGTAAACAGATACCATTGACAGAACCGGTTCAGTGTTCATGTGGCACACAACAACAAATGCCTTGTTTTTACTGAGAATTAGTCATACATTCACGTTGGATATTCTCACCTGGGGAGTGTGTTTCCATTGACCTTAAAGTCTTTAAAGTTCCTCTCATACTGTGGCAGCTCAACAAAGTCTTTCAGCCAGCGGACCACCTCCTCTTGAGTCCAATTATGTACTGAAAAGTGACACAAAAAAGTTAGTAGTAGAACTTGATACCTTTGGACACAAACACACACTTTGCCTCACATACATGCATACCTTCAGACGACTTCCATCCCCTCCAGAGCTCCTCCACTGTGATGTGCTGGTCTTCTCTGTGCAGGTTGTTGTGCTTGTTGGTCTGCTGCTGCTTCATGTCCTCAATAATGAACTGCAACAGCAGAGAATAGTACAGAAGTGAAAATAAAGACCTTTATTCAGAAACGACTTTAAAAAAAAAAGAAGGGCAGGGATCACGAGTACATAATGTTATCTGAACATTATCTCTGTCCAATATAAATTTGGTGGGTGTTGTAATGTATCTTGTACTTGGATTTCAACCTCGGAAAAAACTAGTGGGTGTTTTGAGATTGCGTTTATTTAGAATGGATGCAGGAGCGTTGGTGTGTATTGCAAACTTCAGTGATTGCATGTGTGTGGCAGTGCAGCGTTGGAATGTGTTCTTGGCTGTAAACGGAGGCTTCATATGATGGCTAGTGGAACCTTGGGACTTTGATGAGCCCAGACCCCTTCCCTGACATCTCTATGGCTACCGCAACCCGAGCCCCTGGATACTTTATCCCTGAACTGCATTCTGAAAGGCAAAGGCTCTGTAGAATTCTGAGTTTACTACCAACTCCACAGACAACAAGACACTAACAGACCCTCTGTGCAGGATACTTTACAGACTATTTACTCTGAAATTGTAAAATTAAGAGAACAAATGTGCAACAGAAGACACAAATCACAAATGCACAGTTGTGCACTTGTGCTGATATGCTTACATACAGTAAATGTCTTTACACACATATAGACAACCATATACAGCAATTTGAACAGCAAATGAACTTTAAAAATCATCCGTTTTTTACATCAACAGTGAGCAAAGTCTTGTATTGGGCTAATTAACCAAATGTTTTTCTCTTGACAAAAAAAGGGCTTGACTGATAATCTATAACACTCTTTTACAACACAATTTTGTCATATTTAAGAACAAATAAGTAAAGTTTATTAGTTATGTCTTCTCTGCTTTTTCCCTGCTTTGCACAATAATGCATCTGAGGCCAGCATATCTTGTCAAGTCGTTTGTGGCAACTAAAACAAACTGGCTGAAGAATAAGGGAAAGTCGAGTCAGGAAACACTACGAGCAGTTATACTTTTAAGCATGACTATGAAGGTCACAAGTGTTACAGTATTCTATTAGTGCAAACCAATTTTGTCACTGAGCCAAAAGCAAAGTTATACTGTTGCTATCCTTGAAGGAGCATTTGACTCTTCCACCAGCCAGGACACCTGTTGTTGCGCTACTTTGCCCTGTCTGTCTCTTTCGCACAAGAACACATGCGAACAGAGATTCACTGCAACTCAGAAAATGAGACAAAAATTTTCAGAAAGAGCAACATTTGTACCTCCACGCTCTCCTCCACCTCAATCCCGCCATCTTGGTCGTCGTCCATCATCTGGTGGATGCTCCGCAGGGCGTCCAGGCTGTAGCGATCAGCCTCGCTCATACATGGTGGAGACACCACCATGCAGGGGTCTACATGGGAGGAGAAGGCAATGGCATATCAATCGTTATTTAACTCAGTTTATCCACAGAATACATGTCATCTGTTCATGAATCCAGCTTAACCAGTTCATTCAGCAAATATATAGATTTTAGTTTGTGCGTCCACTGCTACTTTTAGAGCAGACCCAAGGAACAACCATCTCATCATTCCAGTACCAAGACTTCCTTTTAGCTCATACAGAAAGTGCACAATCAATAATATTCTTTCTTCTGTGTGTCAGAGGCAGCAGTTTCTTTAAAAATCTTCATTTGAATCACCAATTGCTAATTGTATTTTAATGCATTATACAAGGCGTCCTGCATTCAAGTGGTTAAGATATGTGCAGTAAGACACATGTAATTTCAGCATCACCGTTTTGATTCTGGAGATTGACATTTCTTACATTTTTCACATTCCTTCCCTGTGTTTTCAGTGTATCTCTACTGTTTTCTGTCAATAAAGCTTAAAATGAAAACCCGAAGTTTATTGAACTAATGAAATAATTAAAAAAAAAAAAAAAAAAAAAGTGCGGCATTTCTATCTACAAAAATTAAAATGATGGGGCATGGATAATAAATCAATGACACAATCAGTGCAATCACATTGTTGACAATTAACAATCTCACCTCAGAATTTATTTATTACCTACACTGACCTTTAGGTGAGGGTGTTTTGTCAGTGGGTGTTTCAAGGTTCAAGAATGAACTTTGTTTGTCCAAAATGTTTGTAACGATCTTTTGTTACATCAATCGTTTAAAGCATTTTTAAGCCAGTTTTAACGAAAGGGTTGAAGTTATGACTTTTCCTATAGAACAGTGTCTAGTCAGTCAATACCAGAACTCTTACATAGTTCTCAAATCTCAAATAAAAAGAGGCAGATGTATTTGAAACTAGAGACTGAAAAGTTTTGTCATGTTACTGTTTGTACTATAGAACTTGAAAACTTAAACCAGGAAGACAACAGCAAACTTTATAGACAAACATATTGTTTCCCTTATGTCCCTCCAAGAGTGGCTCAGATTGTCATCACAAAAATATGTTTGACCGATGAGTTTAAGCCTCAATCCCTAACTCCAGCACACTATAAAAGAAATCAAAATGCGTACAGAATGTACATAATGCTGAGGCAGTGAGAACTCCCTGGTGGAATCGTAGCCAAATTACTGTAATTAGGCTTTAAGTCACGGTATGTTCCCGGCACGAGAAGGCAGGAATACTGATGGACGGGAAGATGACGCGTTGCTTTCCGTCATCTGTCCACTGAGTCAGAGCCCATTTTTGTCTTTGTGACTGTAGAGCTCGGGTGCTCCGATGGGCAATGGACTGAGGGGTCAAAGGTGAGCTAGTTAAACCCACTATTAGCCAGCTCCAGTAACACCCGCTGCCAACAATATAAAGAAGAATTCAGCTGAAGGGAACAGTGATGTCTGGGTCAAAAAAAAAAAAAAAAATTATAATAATTGCTTACTGCTCAGCACCCTGCAAAAATACTGGCATAATCTCAAAACTAATATTTTTCTATTCCATCTAGCACAAATGCTTTTGTAACTCCCACATGTTTAATAAAAGTGGCGACCCTAAGAGTACGCGAGCATGAGACAATTCTGTGACCACGACCAACACATAGCGAGATAAAGCAGATAAGAAGGTTTCTAGACGTAGAAAGCCCAACAGATATTGAATCTAGGGAGTGAAATGGCATCAAATGACTGTTTCCTTGTTCAATGTTTGCATTTGTTACATTTCATATGTGAACTGTTATTTTCAAGACAGCTATTAGGAATTGTTCATTCAAAACTAAAATATAAATGTCTCAACAGTCACATTTCAGTTGATGTTGTCAATATCCTGAAAAAATGGAGACATTTGACAGTAATGATGTGATGCAGACTTTTTCCACTGTTCACACATCCAGGTGATGTATATCAATGTACACAGCAAAGTCACTGTTCTCTTGGTTGTTGATAAAAATTGCATTTCTCAAGAGTGAGGAGACCTCTCAGCTGTAGAGGGTATTAAATGTCAGCGGTGTATGCAAAGGCCCTCAGAAGAGAGTGTGTGTGTGTGTGCGTATATTACTCATGTTGTGAGGACACAAATCTGTAAAGACAGACACATTGTGGGGGCTCACCTCCCTTTCAAGGACTAAAGCAAATCATTATATTTTAGGGTGAAGAATTGACTTAATGTTGGAGTGAATGTAGTTTTAGTTTGGCTAGGCCAGCAGTGGTCGGGTTAAGTTTTCAGGGAATGTATGATGTGTGTGCTCTGAGGTGACTGGAAAACGTGTGTGTGTGTGTGTGTGTGTGTGTGTGTGTGTGTGTGTGTGTTTATGTGTTTATGAATGTGTATTGTTGGTGTCCCTTCAAGACCTCCACACATGACCTGAGTTTAACCTTTACCACAGGTGAGCAGGTGGTTTAAATGTCAGTGAGGACAGTATCAATAAACACCCCAAGCCCACATTTCTAAAGCTGGAGCACATATTAAAAGTATAATGCAAAACAAAACAAAACAAAACAATAATAACAGTTATAATGATAAAGTCAGCTATTCTCAGTGGGTAAATGGAGCTTTCTCACTCTGTCGTTCAAAATGGACTAAAGGGGTAATAAAACAAGGTAATTTCGTCACGTGAGATTTTTATTTAAACGAGATTTTAATTTCTATCAGTTAGATGCAGGATTAAAATAAGTTAGAATGAAAACAAACCATGAAAAGTTTCAAAACAGACGCATGACAGACTATCTTTCTGTAGTTGGCGATGAAAGACTTTCTCAGCATTGCCAAGCGTCCCTATATGAATCAGTTTTCCCCTTTCGTTGGCTGGAGGCATCAAACAGTAGCTGCATACCTGTAGGGTCGAAACCGGCGCTCCCACCGGGGAAGGTGAAGCCGTGGAGGTCTCCGGCACTTTGCGCGGCCACGAAGAGCGCAGCGGGGAAAAGGAGCAGAAGAGGGGAGAGAGGAAGCATTTCTCTGTAATACTGTCGTCCAGAATGGAGAAACACCCTCAAAGCAGAAGGGAGAAGGAACAAATACAGAACCAGCAGCCGTTTAGGAGGCACCGGTGTCAGCGCGTGAAGCTGTTAAGCGATCTGTGTTGCTATTACGGGTACAGACCGGGGGCGAGATGTGATACTGATGTTCACTTGAGAAATCAGGCGAGCGGCACTAGTGTGCAATTTAAAATATATAAAAAAAGGTTTTTAAACACTTCAAAATGCTTGGAGGAATATTGTTTGAACTTTCATCCAAACACAAGAAAGCCGTGCGTCAAAGTTCTCAAAACAACAACAACAACAACAACAAAAAACCCCACACAGATTCTTCTATGGTAAATCCATACTCGATCTGACAAAACTGTCAAAAGAAATGGTCCTGATCCATCGTGCGTAAAATCCAGACAAGGACTTTAAAAGGTTCATGAAAACAGATGACGTATAAATGGGAAGGCAGGCGCAGGAACCGTCACTGCTCCTCGTGTCCGGTCTGTTTGTGTCTGCTGTGGGTCTTTTCATAAAGTCGTACTTTAGTCATACGAGCAGTTCTCTGTTCCCTCTTAATATTCTTTCTCTTCTTTCACCCCTTCCCCAACAGAGACGTCGAGATGTAACGTCTTTACGCAGAACTAACGCTCTCTTCCCATCTCTCTCTCTTTCTCGCTCTCCCTTGCAGCATCTTATGTTTCCTAACCTAATTCCAGACCCAACATATACATATACACGGAGGCCAACTATCCCAGTTTGCTGATCCACCATTCAACAGGCATTCCTTCTAGATCATTTACTATCCAAACTGACGACACTGACGCTGGTTTCCACGAATAATCAATTAAATCTCCATAAACCTCACTATGGGAAGTGCAGCTTAAGATCAAGATGCCAGTAATAGCATCCTACATGAAATCATAGGCCGACTGTCTGGGTCAGACAGTTGTATCCTTGTTTGCAGTTCTTTAGGGGCTTAGCAAATGTTTGCACACCTGTTGTTGGGTTTCCATTGATGTCTACATGCTGCCACTGCCATTTCTCGGACACACTAGCTCAGAAACACTCAACACACGTATGGCCTATAGTAGAAACATTAAGGGAGTGAGGGACACAAGTAGTGCACACAACTGCACATACACACAAAAACTTTAACAGCAACAAAGTGTCAAGTTTCATTCCAGCAATCCAGCTCCCAGTTTTAAAAATAGTGTGACAGCTATGACCTCTACCCTGTGGAGCATGCCCAAGTGGCAAGAGTCCAAGAGGGCCTCAGCAGGATAGCAGTGAGTGTACGGTGTAAATGCATTTTACATGACTGCATCTGCTTTGCGACTATAAGACACAGAGGAGGAGATGGGATGGATGATCGAAACAGCCACCAAAACAAGTAGCACAAAGCTACAGCTTGTTATTAATCAAGACCCTTAGCTGAGGAAGATTTTCTAGGTTGATTTTACTTGTACACACAGAAAAGATGAATGAAGGCGATATAAGGAAAGAGCTGTGAGATACAAACAGCAGGAAACAGGAGTTAAGAAACGTATTCACTAAACACAAGAACATTGAAGCTGCCAATATAATGACACAAGATGTTTAAGCACCTTAAGCCACTTCTGACTTACACAACCCCTGGCTTGTAGATGGTGTGTGCATGGTCGACTGACCAAAATGTCAAAACAAGGCAAAGTTGCAAGAAATAAATAGCCAACTAAGAGAGCAGACTGGAAAACTGGGCAGTGCACTAACCAAAAAAATCAATCCTCTGAAATCTGATTTTATCAAATGTCCAAATGAGCAAAAAAGTTGTGGAACAAGGTGGGAATCCAAGATTAATGTGTTGTTGGAAAATGACCAACGAAGTTAACAAAAGTCGATCAAATAAAACATTTCTAATCAAATCAGGAGGTGGTGCAGACAGCATAGAGAGAGGTGTCACTGGAATGTTACAGTGTAAATACTTAGCCAAGCAATTATAAAGCTACTTCTCAGAAATGCTGAAAACACATGTAAAAACTCTATTGACTCACATCACTGTCATTAACACGTTTACTTACCTTCTATTGCTGTCGTGTTAATCTTGAAACATGATACACAGCACAATACAAAAAAATGATGGAAATAACTTGGGAGAAATTTCAACAAAGTACTAAAACTGTAGGTAGTTGGGGCGAAACACTGATCTTGATAAACAGGTTTAAAGTTCCATTTTTATGTTCATTCAACTTCGTTCATTCAAGAACAGCCACAGCTTTTTATATCAAAATTAGTTCTAATGTATTTGCAGTCAAAAGACACGTTTGACAAAACTAAATTCAACAAGGGTCAATATCACCATGACATCACTGAGAAATCTGTGACCTGCTCGGGTAGCTATGAAGCTACAAGGCAAAGACGGTATTAAAGCTCTTCTTCCAACACATACGCACAAACTCAAAGCAAAACTTAAAGCCCCTCCAATTACAGAAAACATTAAAGATCCACAATATCTGCAATATAAGTATTATATTAACAGTAAAGATCAAATCTTTAACATGACCAGCCAGTTTTGACGCTTGTTGTTTGTTCTGCGACTTTCTCACTTTCTCTGAAAATGTGCAAGAGATCAGACACCCAAGTTTGTTTGTTTTTTGTTAAAAGGCTTCACTATTGGAAAAAAAAAAAAGAAAAAGACACAAAAAAGAAGTAGTGTGGTGTCTTAAACTCTGCTAACAAGAGGGACTGATTGTTTAGATTTGAGTTTAAGCACAGGGTATGAGAAGAGCATCTGGATTAGAAAACAGAACACAGTGATAGTGTATTACATATGAGCAAATGCACACACTACATTCATCAAAAAGGTCATCTTTGATATTAAGAGCAAAAACAAATTGGCCTAGAAAATATAAAGTAGCTAAGCCAATAACTGCAGGCTGACATTGGCATGTCCTCATTTTCTAAAGTGCCTCCTTAAAAACAAAGCCTGACTGATTCTTTTTCATTCTGGTGCAGCTCAGTGAACTGATAATGTTTTGGAAATGACAACTAAGTAAGTATGTGTTAAAAAAAAACAAGTGAGGAGATAAGTAGGGAATCTGTAGTCAGACTGTTAAACATCCTAAAAGTCATTTCCACTTTGACCACTCCACAGAGACAAAACAGAAATAGGTGCCAACACCATGACAAACTCTATTTGGTAACAAAAGTGAATGTATGTACTATGCAGTACTATACAAAAATGTCAAAATGTACCTCAGCAAAAGCTTATAAAATATATAATGAATAAAATATTATAATATTCCTTGGTCCAAAGAAACTAAGTTAAAAAATTTCCCTTGCTTACAACAGTTAAATCAACAACTTTTTCTGTAAAAATATGACCTTGGTAGTAAGAAAGCATAATGAAAGTAGCTTCCAAACCCACTGGTATATAAAAACAAGATGCTTATTTTACAAATCCCATTGCTGTGAGAGTCAGACAGTACATTCACCTCCTTTTAGGACAAACATCTTGGATATCCACAAGAGGGCACTAAAGTACAGAGTCAGTTATCACAGGCATTTTCTTTAAACTTGTCTCCCCCCCAAAAGTCTCAGCCAGTTCTCGTGATTTCACAGTCGCTTTAATGATGAGCTTCTTAGCTTGTGTGCAATTCTTCACAGGTCCATGAGTCTCTTTGGAGTACATGTCCGCATTTTCTCTCTCAGTCATTCGTAGCACACACACAAAACAAGTATCACTATGACAGCACCGACATGGTTGACGCCGACGACGACATGCCTGAGTCACTGCTGCTGTAGGCCCCGTGGCTTTCTCCAAGCCCGCCCAATGAAGATGAAGGTGAAGATGAGGACGCTGGTGATGATGAAGAGGTGCTATGTGACCGCAGAATGGCCCCAGCAGCACTGCAGTGGGGTCGGGGACCTGGTTCTGGGGTGTAAGTGAAGGTTAAGGCAGTGGCGTAGATGATTCCATCATTGCGGACCAGCGTCACAGGAACCTGGACCGGCTGCCTCACCCAGCGCCACCCCTCTCTGAAGGCAGAAATATCCGGCACTACACACAGGACACTCTCTCCACACCTGGGGGAGCCAATGGATGAGATAAGGCTTGATTATAGGCATCGTAACACAGAACCCCTCATACACACACACACACATATATAAACCCTCACAGACACTTGTACCTGTACATGGTGTCGGCCTCCACGTCCCCGAACCACACTCTGAGGTTAGGAGTGAAGTTCTGTCCCGTCAGCTCTAACATGGCCACATCTCCGCCACCATTTAACTATACAAGGACACACAAAAACTGTCTTTAAAGATCCCTCTTGGCTGAGTAAAAATTTAAACAGGGTGTAGTTGGTGAAGAAAGTACTACTCATGTTTGCTGGTAAAGTGGATAATAAGCATGTTTTTAACAGAAAAGGCTGCAGGTGTACCATACCTGCAGACTTTCTACCACAGGGACAGGTGTGACTGGTGTGGGGACGGGGCCCATGCCCTCATAAAAGGTGTACTCTGCTTTGTCAGTGCTAATGATAGTCCAGGAAGCCCCATCGTTAATAATTTCCTTGTTAGTTTCTTTGGAGCATGGTGTCGCCTGAAGAAATAAAACAAATAAAAAAAACTCCTTAGAAACAATTTCACTTCCCACTTTTATGCCTAACCAGGCGAAAAATATACATTTGCAATGACATGGTCAAACACTGAACACTTTTCTCTTGCCCTGGAATGCTCATTACAACAAATACGTCAAACTCCAGTGTGGGTACTAATTTCACAACGAACAACCACTGTGAACAATACTCTCATCAGATGACTTTATATTCTGTTGGGACTGAAAGAAACAGCAAAAAGGTTTTTCTACAATCAGTGTTTAAAGTTATTACAGTAATTAAATGTATGTCCACAAAAAGCCATCAAACAATAATTCTTATGAAAACTATTTATTGCACTTCCAAATTGCCAACCAAAGTATTCTAATGTCTATTTGCTTTGGAGAATGAAATAAAAATATGAGATTCTGAATAGTTGGAGTCTTAAATGTCTGTCCATGTCTGTCAATTAAATGTTTTGTTTTTGGGGGGGGCAAAATTAAGTCTTTGTAACAGATATGTGTACTTTTTATTCATCTATGTGGCAATTTGATATGCAATCATTAAAAAAAAAAAGGACTGAATTACATTTTAGCCTTGAGCAGTTTCAAGGTTTCCAAAAGTCCTTGATTTATCACACTTGGGCAAAAGAGCCATCTGCTGTCTCACATCTCAGAGTATTCTTTATTAAGTGTTAAAACTGCAGTTGAGGAATGCAGTAAACTACTCAAGTATGTATGTGTGTGTGTGTGTGTGTGTGTGTGTGTGTGTGTGTGTCACTGTGCACCTGGAACTGGATGATCCTCTCCTGTGAAAGACAGAGATACATCCTGTCTGTATCTTTCAGGTAGAAGGCACACTTGTGAAGCTGGGACACTGGGTCATCGGCATCCAATAATGCTGTTTGCTTGTCTACTTTGCGAATAACCTGAGGAAATGGGGCAAAAACACCCATCATGAATACACAGCAACAAACCCTATTCACTGTTCAACACATCTGAAAACGTTGCGTAGCACAAACATCCCTACACATGCACTAAGTACACCAGTGTAATGACAACTCATTTTCTTACAAACAACAAATAAGTGACATAAGAGTCGACACATACGAGTCTCGGCAGGGCCATGCCAGTAACAGAGCACACCAGTTTGACTGTCTGGCCATAGTGAATGTAGCCATCTCTTACAGCAAACTCCTCTCCTTCAGACTCCTCATCATCCACTAAACAAAAACACCAACATTTCAAATTTTCACCATAGTTGACACATAAAATGATAGAAAAAAAAATGCAGACAAACCAAGGCGTGACTTACGGAGGTGGATGTAGAAGGCACCCCACTGCTGGGAGCTAGCATGAAAGTTTCCTCCTTCCACATGGAGATACCTGGTACTAACTGTCTGGGAACGCAGGCGATTAAACAAGGCCACCTTAGTCCCTGATGCTATACACACTAGGGAGAAAGAAAGGGAAAGACAAAACTAAAATCTTTTACAAATCAGAATTAATTGTGAGGATGTGGTGAAACCAAACAGTCTTGCTTAAGCCCCGTTCACACACGCTCCCTGTTCTGTTAATCTAATGGCAATTTAGCATTTTGGCTTCATATCTGAATGTGCACCCATTTCCATAAAAGTCTCATTGGCAAAATTTCAGTATCGCTGTCAACACAGCACTAGTCTGAACTGAACTGTCTCATTAACAGATATGCACAGACAGGCAATGGTATTTTAAGTTGTTTCAAGTCATTAGGGGAAGGTCATTTTCACCATTTCAGCACCAACACTCATCCAGAAACATCACAGAGACAGTTAATGCACAGTTTGTGTGCCAAAATCACAACTCAACTTTTCACGTTCTTTCCTCTACAATTTCTAATCTATAAGGCTACAAAATGAAATGTCCATAAAAATATAACTTTACTGCAATGAGAACAGGAACAGCTTCGAATGACACTCAACAATAATTCCTGTAAATCAGAGTCATTGTCGTCCCCAACAAGACAAGCTTTAAGAGCTTTAGTGCATGTATGTGTGTGTGTTTACAAGTCCTGTAACTCACAATCTGCATTTTTCAAGGACTGTTTCTTCTTGGAGGGCTTGGAGATGACCTTGATTCTCTTGCTGAGGAAGACTCCTATGTTGGAGCTGTTTCCGTATAACATCTTCACAGACAGCATGAAGTGCTTCCTTTTATCGGAGTCACTGATATACAGTGTCTTAGCTGTGCAGAAGTGCTGCCACAGGGAAAAACAAAAAAACAAAACATTGAAGGATTTTGTGTGAGGATGTGGCTTTTTGTTTGCCCCCCTTTCACTTCCCTCTTCTCTCATTCGGAGAACAAGGTTGTTAGGGACACTCGGGCAAAAAGAAAACATGAGTATGGTATGCAACAATATCAGTTACAGAGTGAACATAGTTAACAAGATTCTTCTCAGCAAGCAGAGGATATGGTCAAACTGCAAAGCAAAGCAGCTGTGGTTACTTTGCATGGTTGATCAGCAGTAGAACAGAAAACAAAATGGCAACTTTATTACTGCTAGAATAGTTGAATAATCGGAAGAGTATGTAAACAGATAAGCTTTTAATCACCCACAGTGAAGATTATTTGTACAATCACAAGGAAATATGCAAACTGTACAATTATAAAGGACCCACCTTCCCCTCCAGATTCAGTTGCTGCATCTCCTGTTCGCTGTTGCCTATCCCAATGAAAGCACATGGCTGGGCCTCCTGCTCTGTGCAGCCCTCCTTCTCCATATTCTCTAACTTCTTCTGCCAGCCAGTGCCCAACAGATACACACATGGTGGAGGACAGAAAAACCTAATTGACACAGGCAGAAGTATAACAAAAAAAACATACCTAGGCTCAATAACCACAATCTCAACAACAGGCAAATTCAAAGTATGCAACTTTAAACAGTCCCAGACTAACCGTTTTTCATTGCCATATGACTTTTGTGCAACTTTCGCATGTAGTATGAGCACTGTTTGATCGTCTTTCTCCTTCAAGTAATTCCTCATAGCCTCTCTGAAATAGGGGGGAAAACACATATTAAAATTTTAACATCAGCATACAAATTGTTCTAACATCAACAATATTTTTTGAGTTATTTTTTTTTTTTTATCTTCCTGCACTGATTTAAAAAAAGTTTTGAAATGTTTGCATTGTGAAGGACTTGCTCCGTTTCTCTTTGTACCTTGTCAAACGCTGAGGTTGAGGTCGCTCACCGAACTTCCTGCAAAACAAAAACATCATGGCGCAAGGTGTTTATGCGTGGTTTCAGTGCCGGGCGACTGAAGCAGACATGAAAACAAGCTTGGTTGAAAGTGGGCAGAAAAAAACATAGTGGTACAATACACAATGTCAGTGACATCTTTAAGGCAGGCGTGCTTGTATTTTACAGTGGTAAGAACTAAAGCCCCGCACCATCGTCTGCTCAGCTACAAGTGCTGCAGGCAGTGCTGAGAGTACTGTAAAGAATGAAGTCGGAGTGTGCTGAACAAAGATTCAGATTCAGATTCAGATTTGTTTTATTGTCATTGTAACAAGTACAACGAAACGTAAGGTATATATAAGAACTTGTAGAACAATAAAAACTTTGTAAACACTATATACAAACAGTGTGATGGCACTATTTCTAAATTATCTTACACATCTTTTCCGAGTTTTCCTTTTGTATAACATATATGTCGATAATGACATATGTGTGACAAGCTGAAATCGGCCAACAAATACATCAGTCAAGTTCAGATAAATGCATAAAACGACACCTCCTCACATACTAAAGAGTCTGCATCTGCTTCAGGGTATTTCAGAAGCAGAATGGAGCTACTACACAGTATACAGCAGTGTAGCAATAGATGTACAAGTTTAACAGTGTTACTGTAAAGTAGTATCAAGAAACAACTCTCTTTTTCAGCTGCTTTCAGTTGAGAGGAAAGTTATATTAAAACAATAAATGTGCGCTTAAGAACGTCAAAATTTGACTTAACAAGCAAAAAAAAATGTTTTAACCACTTAAACCAAGTTCAATTTGTGATAGCAATGTCTGAGTAATTAGTCAGTGTGTGTGTATGTATGTATATATATATATATATATACATACACACATATACACACACACACATATATACACATATATGTAGTGTGCTCAACTTGCTAAACCAGAAATGAAACAAACGCACAAGGGGTAGACAAGCCAAAAAAGGAAAACTGCGAACTGACAAAAAGTTTCTGAATTAGTTTAAAACTTGTCTAATATTGTGAGTAACTTCAACAAAACGGCTGAGAAACCACGAAGAATAGTTTTGCACCACTGACCCCGCATCGAGCCATAAGGCAGAGCTCAGGGGGGTAAACTTACTGGGAGCGACGCGGGGGTACAAACACCCACGACATCACCCGAAAACACCACAAACCGGGAACCGCTCCGCCACAAGGAACACTTAACATTTTTCAATAACATTATGCTTTGAATGTCTGCACTTACCCCGTAACAACGGGCGCCATCTTCCGAATAACTCTCTCCCCCCCCTCGAAAAAAAAAGAAAAGTCCAACAATCGCGAGATCCCTCCCCCAGCCCCCTCAGCACAGCCAACGGCACAACAGAAGAACCAGACTGGAAGCAAAAGAAGGGAGAGAGGGAGAGCGGAGGGGAGATAGAGGGGGAAGGTGTGACGGGGCAAAGGGGTGAGAAGTGGGGGGGAGGGAGGGGCGACAGGCTGAGGGCAGACGCCAAAACAACAGGCGTGGGAAAGTTACAAAGTCACGCGAGAGCCGAAAAACTCTCACAATAGACATGAATGAAGATGGAGCAAAGATGTCGCGAGATGAGGAGGCACACGCTCTTAACTTGCTTTTTTTTTCTTCCATGGGGCACTCACGATGTAACTCGATTCCCACGCCTGATTGAGCAATAAGCAGACTACACCTTTCTACAACGAAGAGCTAGAAACACAGCAAGAAGATTAAAAAAAAAAAAAAAAAAAGTGCTAGATGAACTGCAGCAGCAAAAATATATATAGTTAAAGACAGTAAATCATCCACATTATAAGGCTAATAACTATTATTCTCAGAGAAAATAATTAATTATAAATACAATTTTAGGTCCTTTAAAAAAAAAAAAAAAAAGCCTAAAATAAAGTACCACATTAGAACAAATCACAGTCAACCTCACACAACAGCAAAGAATATTTTTGGAATATATTTTTATTAAATAAATGCATCTTCAAATTATGAATATTAAAAAAAAGTATAAAAGTTTAACAAAAAAGTAATCAATTCAGTGCTAAATGAGCAGTTGTCCTAAAATCTCTGACAGCATTTGGATATTCTACAGACTCCGCAGGATTCTGTAAAAATGATGTGTTAATAAAAGTGATATTTATATAAATTGCCAGTTACAAAAGGGGGTACATTTATACAGTACAGTGGGGTAAATGGCAGAGTTTTATGGCAAGACGCAATCATCTTCCTAATGAAGATACTGTAAATGGACATGATATAGTTGAGCTGCATTCTATAAATGTATTTCACATTTAACATGAAAAACAGCTGTTGTTTGAAAACCAGAACAAAAACTTAACTCGCCCGCTGTTTCTGCATTAATCACAATACCAAAGAAACAACCCTCAACAGATTTCACCAGTCATCTGACATGCCCTCCTTTACTTCCCGTCACCACTTGGTAACACATGGCATCGTATGTCTCACCACTTGCTGGGAGACAGAGCAGGGTCAGAGGGGAGGAGGGGATTACAAAACTAAAAACACTTGCACTTAAGCAGAACAACTTACTGGCATAGATGATTAACTTAACATCGACAGTTCAAGAACAAAATGCTGCAAATGTTTGAGTTTCAAATTTCAAAACCTCTACATACTGTGTCTCATTGTTTACAAGCTCTTAATGTGCAAATTTTTTCTATTGTATTTTCACCTATTTGGCATCCCCAAATGGAATAGCTCAAAACAGAAGAGCTGTAAGGCCAAAGTACGAGACATAACTTGAAAGAAAACTTCTTTTAGTTACTGAAAATATGTTTATCATGCAGCTGAAACTAGTGTAAATAGACCTGGTGGCTTTAAAGACACTTCCATCTGCCACTGGGAAGCAGAAACGATGACAGCCCACAATGCATTCTATGTCACGCTTTCTTTAGAAGTGTGCATAATGTACTGTCTCCTTGTGCTAAAGACTCACAAAAGCCCCACTACAGCTTTCAGAGTAACACAACAGTACGTAGGATGGCAGCGGGGATTCTCCTAAGGGGAAGTGAACAAGGCCTTCCTTAACATCTGCGGCTCACCCTGATGCAGAAGTTTGTCGTCAAGGGGAGGTATGAAAACATGGGTCTATAACACACAGTCAAACAGAAAATTAACAGTGTCAGTTCTTATAACAAACCTTTCTTAGACAAGCTTTTCCTGAGTAAGCGAGGATATTTGGCAGTGCTCTGCTGCTTTATAACTGAAGATCTTTGGAAAAAAGTGTTTAAAATATTAATGGTTCTAGAGAGTAGTGACGAACACTTACAAAAGAGGAAGCAAAACAGAGTTAAAGAAGAAACTCACACATATTCAGACAAGGAGCTTCATTATAGTTTCAACAAGTTAAATCAGTTTCCTGTTTCCCCACTTTCTGAATGTTTTCAGATTATATGTCCAGCAAATTTGATGTAAACAATGTTCTTTGCTTTTGTTTTCCCATTATTTAGGGGCTTTACTTCTAAATTTTCCAGAAAATCTTCTTTCTGTAGAGCACGTAGGAGATCATGACCCAACACGAAGTGGCCACAAGGTTCTGGATGAGGTGTTCAGTGTGGGATTGGCTGTTGGCCATGCGCCAGCGGAAAGGAAAATAGTCCTCAAACACTTCATGGCCCACGTACACGAGGATGGAGTTCATGCCTGGAAAGCAAAGATCACAGTGACTACAGTAGTTTCAGAAGGATATGGCAACAGCTAATTTTGATGGATTTTATTTCTCAGCACCCATTTCTCAGTAAAACACAGATAATTCCAGATCAGACTCACATCAAACTTGATTAAAAACTGCAGCTGTGGTTGTAATTTAATTGAAATAATCAAAAGGCTGTCTTGGTTGAAAGAATTTGGTTTTAAAGGACACAAATCCAAGTCCAAAAACTGTCCACTAATCCAACTCCTTCTGTCTGCTAACAGTGCTCACCAGGGTAGTAGAAAGGTGCCCCAGACCACCACTTCTTCACATCTACAGTGTAGTAGATCAACACTAGCAGCACAAAGGCGAAGCAGGCCAGTGTTGTCACGTAGGACAGAGACCTAGAAGTGAAACAAAAAATACATACACAGAGCAGCATTGTTTAAAACATAGTATTGGGAATATTTATCAGCTGTATCCCTATATGTTTCATTCGAATGGAGTTGTTCTACAAGTTCTCTCTTATCTTTCTTTTTAAATCTATCTTCATAAAAGTCAGCTCATCCCTATAGTTGTAATTTAAAGTCCATTATTCACGGTGGTTAATGGTAAAAGCTACATCGAGCAACAAATTGGCACAACTGGGAGGTGAACATGGTCCTGTGTTCAAAACTTAACTGAGTTACACCATTGGACTACATGTTGTGTGATGAAATATTTGTATGTTAACAATTTTTTGATTTGGAAGGTGGCTGGCTTGAAATGAATGGCAAATATGGACAACATATGGAGTATAGTGGAATTTTAGGTATCTTTCAAAATGAGTGTGAAATTGTGAAATGATCTCAGATATTGTGTCACCTGTGTGTTAATGTTCAAACATTTAAATACAAAGTTATGAAAGAACAAGAATTCCTATTCTATGCAGAAACTTTCCCAAACATTCATCAACAAATCCCAAAAAAGTTAGACTGAGGAAATCTTCCATTTGAGGATGAGGTAAGGCCAATTTATGCTTCCCATATCTGTAGGGTTACTCGTGATGTAAATTTCTTCACACTCCCGAGTCCGCAAAGGTCTGTGTGGACTGTCTACATGCAGCTGGAAATTTGTGAACACGCAAACCGTCTGCACTGCAAGAGCGCCGATTGCACGTGTGCCAGTAGAACAAGTGGTGCTTAAAACAAATGTTCAAAAGAGAAGAAATTGCTGCTGGATTTTGGATGAGCTTTGATTTGTACGTGGTTTTCATCAACAGAGCCCAAACACAGCAGGAAGTCCTCGTCGCTCTAGAAATCCTGAGCTATGTCCGCTCACTGTACCACAGAAATAATCACTGACACAGTGCTGCTGTATAACCTGTAACCAGCTACTGTTTCCATGTGTGTTTTTTAGTGTTCGATATCATGGGAAATGCAACCTGCTGCGTAACAGACTGCAGATTTGTGCACCTGAACGAGGACAGCATGAATTGGGCATTAAGGCAAAACTTACCACAGGTTCTTGTTGACCGGAATGAAGCCCTGGTCTGTGGAACACTTGGTCAGAGCTGCTGAGATGACTCCCTGTGTGGTGCAAGAAATCTTATTAGTCAATCAGGAAGGACAGGAAGTGTCCTGAAAATAAATGTGTTCAGGAAAAGTCAAAAACATTGCAACCAAGATACTTGCTTTACAATGCCATGAGCCGTTTAATTTACTCAGCAATAACTAACTGATATAAATACTGTCCACATATTGCAGAAGCAAAGAACATAACAGGTCAGCTTGCTTACCAGAAACAAACCCCATATGAGGAACCTTGACATGATACTTCTGTGGAGATCTCTGTAGTGTAAGATTATCTTTCCTGCCTGAGGATAAAATACAAAAATGAAACCTAATAGTTTTTTGCCTTTGATTATTCCAATGTTTTACATCATTTACCTAACATTTGATATTGGAAATATTGACATAAGCCATACTCCAAGCACAAAAGGAAGACAGAATCAGACAAATACACATTACAAACCTGTAATCCAAGAAAAGCCATGAGAACAGAATTGATGCTGCCCAGAACACCCTCTGGGTCATATGGCATGTGAGTTCCATAAATTACCTAAATTAGAATAAAAGCAGAAATGGGTTTTGTTAAATGTACCTTGTCTACCCTACCTTAGTGTAACATTACAATGGTTGGGGATAACAAGTGTATATGGGCTGCTTTGGTGGACACCAACCCGTGATGAGGGAGTCTGGTAGATGTGGTTTTCCCCCAGAAGCCAACGGTCAATGAAACCAGCTGCTCCACCGGTGCAGTTAGCATACAGGCCCATGTCCCCAATCCCACCTGGTCCCAGATAGCCTCTGTTTCCAAAGAGCAGGATGAAATCAGAGTCATTAATGCAGGACATACTGTATCAATGGAAAGGTTTAGATTTAAAAACAAACACAGAAGGCAGACAAGGGTTTGGAAAGAATTCTGTCAGCTCTAATTATATGAGAATCAGAATCAGAAATACTTTATTGATCCCTAGAGGAAATTAAAATAAAATATATCTAAACATGAAAAATATATATTATGTGGTCATCCTCAAATGTATTCATATCCTTCCATTAAAGAAAAGGCTAAATTCACAATAGTCACTCAAATAACTAGAAACTGAAAAAAGTTTTTTTTTTTTTTTTTTTAAAGTTAAAATATAATTTTGTGAAATACGGCATTGCTTTTGAATTGTGCTTGAAAAGAATAATAAAAAAAAATAAAAATAACAAAACTGTCCCGGAAAAATTAGAGCACTTTGCTGATGAGCAGTGGTTAAAAATCTAAATACCTGTCAACAGGTGCAGAAGTCTGATTGAGAGTTACAGAAAATACTTGATTGCAGTGATTGGCTCAAAGGGTTGTTCAACAATATATTAGTTCACGGGCCCCATCATGCTTGTTTGCTTGTAGGTTTTTTTTTTGTTTGTTTTTTTTTTAAATATTTCTGTTGAACCACAATTCAAAAGCAATGTCATGATTTTCATTAAATTTTTATTTATTCTTACTTTTATCAATTTCAGCTTATTTCAGTGACAGCTGAACACTTATTTTTATTTTATTATTATTTTTTTTATTTCTCTATTTTTCTTTTTATTCAAAGTGGACGCTGGATTCTGGTACAAAACACATTTCACTGCACATTGTAGGGTGTATAAATGTGTATGTGGCAAATAAAGCTTATCTTGAATCTTGAATCTGTTTTTTTTCCTTCTTTAATGGGAGCGTATTAATAAACTTGAGGATGACTGTATATATATATTCTGTGTATTTATTTTCTTCTTAATTTCTTAAGCATTTAGTTTTACTTTTTCATTTCTGCTAAACAAACGTACTCCAAATAATGTATTTTAAATGTATGTATTATAAACAACAACAAAAAAAATTTAACACAAAGGTAAATATTTATAAAAGGTGAAAATTTGTCATCACTGCTACAAAATTACTAGTAGCAACAATTACATTTCTACATAGCAATTCAGCATCAGACTCAATTGTCAAAGTTTCACTTCATCAAAATCACTCACGACACAAAAGCCTAAAACTGTGTGATAAACACATTTTTCAAACAGTTGTTGCTTGCTAAGCACAAACAGACACATATTTACAGTATACACAAAAATGCCATGTTTGACTTACGTTGGGCAATCTGGTACAGGAAGTAGGAAAGTGAGGCATAGCCAGATGACTTCTAAAAGGAGCACACACAGCCACGCTGGCCAGTACAGCAAGATATCAAGGCCAGGAGACCACCAAGGATCCTAGAAAACACAGACACTTCTAAATAAAACACTTCTGTCCTCTTTCAAAATACATTTATCATTAATAGGTTAGCAGAAAATTACAATCAAAAGAAAATGATCACATTTCTGCTTTTATGTATTCAAAGCAGATATGGCAATTGTTTAGGATAGAAAGTTACAGAATGAAGGTAAAAGTAAGTTGCTGACTGACTGTTGTAAGGATGTCAACTTGGCCTCTCGCCACCAATAAATCCAGGCAGGCTACAACCAAGTACGACCAGGCAAGGCGCTGCAGCACACCTGGAATCCGTAAGTTGTCCCAAGACACTGTGAAGCACATGAACATAAAGTGTGAGCGAAGACGGAGGCAGAAACACAAAAGTAAATTAAAAAAAAAAAAAAAAAAAGGAAAGCTGAATACACAAGTTGACAGTTTGGAACACTATAAAAGAACATGGTCTATTAATGATTGGAACACAGTAACTTGGGACGTTATAGACAACATCAAACAAGTGAGTTTATACGTACATGCCCCCTGGCAGTAGTTTGGGTTAATGACGAAGACACCGATGATGAAGAGCTGTATGCTCCTCCACACAACTTTCCTGAGCAGCGAGCGTCGGGTTGTGCCTGCACGCAGCATGGAATTGATGGACAGTGCGATGGATGTGCCCATTATAAACACAAACCTAATGGAGGAGGAAAACACAAAGTGTGAGAAAATAGACAAAAAAAACCCAAAAAGGAGCGAGTTGAAAAAGAGATCTGGTTCATTTAGAAGAGGAGCAGTAGCTAAAAGCTGTACTGAGGGAATATGGGAGCAAATAAGTTCATTATTTTAGTTTGGTTCATTTCTTTTCTTCAGTGACAGGTGGAATTTTACCCTGGAGTTTGTTTTAAGATGCAGCCATGAAGAAAGTTAAACTTTTGCTGCCTTTAAGGAACACTGTGGCTTGCAGGGAAAACATACTGCAACATATTTTTTTATGTGCAAATTCTACAGCGTAACTGAAGCATGGAAGAATCAATCAATATTCAATACATGCATTCTGTGTTATTAATATTACATAAACATACGGTTGCTGCATTTTTACATCCATATGTGGATGAAAATAAAGAGTATTCCAGCACATGTTCAGTTCAAGAGTGCAGTCCACTGCAGAAATAAAACATGTTAGGAAAGTGCCATGGAAGAATATTCAAATTGATCTTACCAGGGAAAGACTAGATCTGCAACAGTAAGGCCTGTAATGTGACAAATGGGAAACGCACACTTCAAAATCAACGACAATAACAATGCTGATAACAAAACAGGTTACAAAGACCTGTGAATTCTAGCTACGTTGTTACATATTTCAAAAAACTGATAGTGGAACCAGGTGGGACTCACCATTCCAGCTTTCGTGTCTAAAGAACCAATAGCGTCCTCCTCCATAATTCACAAAAACCATAATGATTAAGGAGATGCTGACAGGAAGAGAGAAAAAGCAACATTTATTAAAACGTATTTAGCTTTTAAAGTGCATTGAACTGCAGGCAAATTTCTGATGTAGGCACGTTAAGAGACATAACAGAAAACATGACGTAACAGAAATATAGCTACAGGGTGCACTTCAGGAAGAACGATGCCACAATGTCAACGCACAGCTAATGTTATTATTGTCAGGGAGGAGCTCCTTAATAAGAGATAGTTCTAATGTTAACTCCCAAAATGTCACACGATAATACTGTATAGACAATCACACAACACAGCATAATGACAAATCAGACCAAGTGGTAAATGAGTTCATATCTTTCACTGAGCAGGCCGAGCTGAAGAGGTGAGGAAGGCAACGAGGCATACCCTCTAAATGTGTCCAGAGATCGAAGCCTCTTGCTGGGGCTCGGTGGTGGAGGGAGTATGTTGTCTGTAGCTGGCGGCACCATCCGAGGGGAGCCCAGTTCCTAGACGGGGAAAACAAGATTAAAATAACATGTTTTAGATGGAAGCACAGATTTATTAAACTGAATATTCTGACAACACCTGTGTCACATTTTTCAAAACAAGTTTCCAAACAGCTTCACAACATAGATATTAGTCAAACCCCAATAAATAAAGACGTCATTTGTTTTCTAATTTTGCTGTCATTAAAATGTTATCATGACTTAGTAAGTTTCTGTATTCACAGTGTGAGTGCAAGAATTCCCAACTTCGTAGAACTCACAGAGTTGATGAGTCTCTCTGTCTCCAAGGACCCGCCAAATCGCTGGACAAGACCCCTCACTACTCCAAGTCTGGACAAGAAATAAGCAGTTTTGGAGTAATTGTGCTTGAAAGAGGTTTCCACAAGTTTATGCCACAACTTTAAAAATATATATATATATATTTTAGCAAAATGCTTTGAATCTAATAAGGCTGCCAATAATTTATCATATGTACATGTAGCTTTGTTTGTATGTGTACACAAGACAGTGCAGATTTTCTAGTCAGTACCAAAATCATCACATTTATTCTTAAGCGTTTACTGAATAAACATAGAAGAATAAAGCAATAAAATAAGCTTACCCTAGTATTTTTCTTCCAACTGCAAATACCAAGACCAGTCCAGCAAAGACAACAAAGGCAACCAAGATCGCTGTGTGGAAACAGCTGTATATTATTCAAATATAGCACATAGGATGAGTAAAGTATTAAACCACTTGACATATGTTCATGTACACAAGCTTATGTTTGTGTGAGACTCACGTATATAGCTGTTCACGGGGTCTGCATCAGTTGAAACAGAGCATTTGACCAATGAGGAGTTGTTCAGATTTTGCACCCACACAGAGTAGTTTCCGTGCTCCCCAAAGTGGAATGGAACCCTGGAAATTAAAAATGACAGGCAAGCGGTAAATGAACCAAAGGAGTCATTCCAGTGATGTTTAATTTATTATATATAGATGGTCATTTAATGAAGTCACGTGATGTTTATGTCTACTTAAATTCTAACAGACAGATTTTTGTATATGCTGAACAGATAGGAAAGTTTTTCTGTTTTTAAAAAAAAAATCTTTGTGGGATTATGAAGATCTCCAAATGCCACATGAAGCAATTTGTTATTAGTCCAGCTGGATGCTATGTTCAGGAGTATGTGTTGCCATAAATAACTTTATTCAACTTTTAAAAAATATATGTATGGGCACTGTTGGGGGGGGGAATATAATTTTGTTCGATTAAGACTGACAAATAGAAGGAACCTTGGATCTTGAATGGTTGTCCATGTTTCTAAATCCGATTAAATTGTCAATCCAGCTGCAATAATGTTCGTTTAGTTAGGTAGAAAAACACAACATCCAATTAGGTAAGCTGTCAGAGACCTAAATCTCATTTACATCAATCTGCAAAACGTAAATAAGTCTTTCAGATTGAATCAGTCTGTAATATCACCAAATATTTGTACAGTAAATGTCCCTACAAATGTTCACTCCTGATGTACTAAATTTGAAATAGGACTGTCTTTGTAAACTTACTTGCAGAGCTCCATGCTGACGAGAGTGCTGTTGAGCTGTAGTGTAATTTCATGCTGTGTGCCAACAACAAAGTCCACTGAACTGGGCTGGCCAGGACTGGGTCCTGCAGGTACCACCCCTAGCTTCTGGTACAAACACTAACACAAGGAAACAAAAGTCCAGATCAGAGCATCAGCATCACTCTTGTCTCAACTGAGTCACATAATCAACTGGAGGAGATTATTTGTTAAGTGTGAGGCTACCTGATAGCAGCGCTGTGACATCCAGGACACCACCACCTCAGTGTCCAGGTCATTCTTGACTGTCAGATGTGCCTCATCCATCTTCAGCGCTAAGTGCTTATGGTGACCAGCTAGAGTAAGAGACCGCAGCAGATCACATTCAATCCATTAATAAACTATTTTTTTTCTGCATAGAAAAAGGCAAACGCTGGTAATGCTACAGCCTACAGCTTACTGTAGCTGACCCCACCCAGCTGTGCAGCCACTGTTCACTGAATAGACATTTTTTTAAAACATAATTTAAATCATCAGAACACTATGTTTGCAATTACACTGGTTATCATTTTTAATAAAGTGCACATGCGCACAGAAATCCCAGCTGCGCCTTAACATGTTGTACAAGGCAGAGATAACCACACCGTGGAAGGTTAGCATATGAAAGCCTGTAGAAGGAGGCTTTAGATGTGCTACCAGCTTTCAAACACTCACCTTAAATCTGCGTTTTCACTGCTATCGTTACGAACAAGGAACGTATTCCATACCAGGCAGCTAGGAGCCAAGTTTAACTGCGAGCTACATCCAGTGAGCTAACGTTACCGTCTGGAGGAGGAGAGCATGTGAGAGGGCTGAAGTTATGGCTGCAGAGCCCAGTGGTCACATGCCGAATTAATCCGTAAAATACCCCCAGGAGGGAAGTTCAAACGACAGAGGCTCACTCTTGGACTGTCAACTGCTTCCTCCAGTCGGTGCTAATCAACAATTAGCCCCTAGCGAACAGACCTGATACCTAAATACTTGTTCGTCGAGGTAAAACTTAAGGTGACTGATGAAAAAGCTACAATCATAACTGAAATATAGTTTAAGCAAAACATTTTTTTTAATTTGCTGGACATTAGGTGGCTAGCTGGGTTGCTAGCATAGCCGCAAATCAGTGTCCTGCCTTTACTTTTAACCTGCCAGCAGTTCCTGAGTACTTACATGTAGAGACTTGGGCTGTCAGTGGGGCCACGCTAACGGCGAACACCAAAGCAACAGCAGCAAGGGGAACCATAGTCTTTTTCTCTTGTTGTGTAGTTTCTTCCTTCCTTGTCGACGTCACCCTTACAGCTGAAGTTGTGTCTTTTATGTTTTTCTTTGGTTTCCTTTTTGCCATAGTCGATCCTACTTCCGACCCTGGGTTGTTTTGACATTGTAGTGGGAGCGAGAAGGGACAAAGTACCTGACCTATGGCCGATACCTGTGTGGAACGTCCACCTGTTAGATGGAGGACCTTTGAAGTAGTTCTAGTTATTTATTTATTCTTCCAAATGTAGCATTTATGTTGACTGAGACACACGGACTAGGTCTTTAGCCCTTTGCAGGGATGAATACGGAACACTGCTGGCCTCCCTGATCCGTCAAAGTGATGTCATCTGTCATTCAGACATACTTGGCTTTTTGCATTAATGTTCCTCCTTCAGTTGCTGTGAGAATAACTGGGTGCATGTTTGAAAGGAGCTTTTGTATATTTAAACTTATTTTCTGTTGTCTGCACTTTGTGTAGCAGTAGTAACATTGGCTAAAAGGGTGTTGTCAGGTGCTCTGTCAAATCACCTGACAAAAACTGTTTGCCATTGTTGTCCTCCTGCGTATATTAGCTGTTCTTTCTGTTAGATTATGCAATTCCAGCTGTTTTTACGAACTGAATTAGCTTTAAAGGACCATTACTTGTAGAGCTCATTTTCTTTGTGTTGTAAAAGGGACCCATCTTTAAATCATGTAAATAACATTCTTAAGAAGATCATCAGACATACCGAACACATACAGTCTAACCATCAGAACTGTTCATATTTTTTAGGGCTACTAATAAATATTTCCATGACCTATATAATCTCTCAGTTATTTTCTGGATTATTCACTGAGTTGTTTGGTCTTTAAAATGTCAGAAAATAACCAAAATGACGTCCTCAAATAGCTTGTTTGCTCAACAACCCAAAGATATTCAGTTTAATGTCACAGAGGGATGAAGAAACCAGACAATAATAGAATTTACCAAGCCGAAATAAGAGAATTCAGACTTTAAAAAAATGCTCCCTTTATATTTTATTAGATTACATAACCTTTAATAAAGCGCTCAACTATTTCCATTTTTCATTACTGTCATGTTTCTAACATCTAATCCTGCGTTTCTTTTGTCGACTGGCGCATGCGCATATGCAGAAAACAACAAGGCTCCTAAATCGATGACCGATTGAATCAACGGCGACTCCCTTCGGACTTTTTCACAATGGCAGACAAACAAAATGCCCAGAAAAGGTAAAATAAATCTTTTCTTGTATATGACGATTGATTGCTTACTTAAATAGAGATAGCATAAAAAAATATGACTAAATAGCCACAATAAAGTAACAATATACCTACTTAAGAAGGCTTAGCGAAGTAGCTAGCAACGTTAGCTAACACTTTTTCCTCGCTTTTCCTGTTTTTTTGCAGTGTCAAAATAGCTGCTGGAGCCGTAGTTTGTGTTGAAAGTGAAATCAGAGGAGATGTTACAATTGGTGAGATGTTTTTGCATTTGTTTGAGGACTAGTAAACACCGCGGAGTTTAGAAAACCTGCTTTTCTCTTTGTCACAGTGGATCATAGCTATCACACATTTACTGTACGCGTGATGCCTTCTGTATTCTGTTTCCTCAGGCCCCAGGACAGTGGTCCATCCAAAAGCTCGTATCATTGCAGAGGCAGGACCCATCGTGATCGGAGAAGGCAATCTGATCGAAGAGCAAGCCCTCATCATTAACAGGTCAGTCAGGATTCCTGGTATTTCCATGTAGCATCTTTGCATGTTATCTGTCTTGAGTTTTGAAATCAGCTTCTCCTGCATCATAACACCTGCAAGCTTGCTTCTTCTGCCCCACAGTTACCCAGAAAATATCACACCAGATTCTGAGGTGGAGCCAAAGACGATGACCATTGGCATCAACAATGTATTTGAAGTTGGATGTGGTATCCTTTTGACTAGCCTGGCAAATCTTTGTGCACAAGTGGTTTCAAATTGTAAGGTGAATCAAAGCTACTACAACAGTTTTGCCTTAACCGACAACAACCAGTATCACAAGCCCTCAAAATTGGTGACAACAATGTGATAGAATCTAAAGGTGGGATGCTTGCATCTTTGTTCAATGTGCAATTATGTAGAGATGGGAGCAATATACACCTGCAGAGATGAACGAATATATAATTTATGTGAAGTCACTCACTGTATTAAATATCCTCTGCTTTATTGTCTAGCTGACGTTGGCAGAAATGTGATCCTCACCGGTGGCTGTATTATCGGCGCCTTCTGTCAGGTCAACACCTGTGAGGTCATACCTGAGAACACAGTCATCTATGGCTCTGGATGTATGAGGCGGGTTCAGACTGAGAGACCACAGGTAAGGATATCATCATTTGGGTTGTAGACAAATGCCCCAGGATCGTGATTAGCATTGCAAATTTAAAACCAAAGAAGTTAATTTAATTTTGTACTTCCAGACAGACAAAATAATATGTAGATTTTCTGTTGACACTCACTCTCTCTCTGGTAACTAGAGACTGCAGTTGATCATGATGTTTTAGTAGATTGGAAAGCCATTTTTAGAGGGAATGCATCTACCTCTTCTACATGGATCTTATTTTCCTTTTAATAACTCTAGACATTTGTTACAAATTCCATTAGTCTTATTCTGGTAAACATAGTACTATACGAGAACTGTGCTTTGACGAAAAGTGCATATCTCCTGTAAAGGCAACAAAAACACTTTTTGCAGTCACATATATTCTAGTGGATCTAATGTGATTTTTCTTTTGGTGTCAAAATGTGGTGCTACACAATGTTTATTGCTGAAAGCACTGTGAAATGATTCACATTTGTGTATTCAAATGTCTGTTTTGTTATCATTGCAGCCCCAGACTCTTCAACTTGACTTTCTGATGAAGATTTTGCCAAACTACCACCACTTGAAGAAAACTGTTAAAGCAGGCCATGCTGCTAGCTAAGACTTAACTTCATACTCTTTAAGTTGATTTGTAAATGGCTAGCAAACCTGTGTTTAAATAGATTTTGCTGGAAGAAAGCATGAATGTATATAATTCTATAATATGTACCTAACCTATCAGTAATTGTTCCTCACTTACTGATATTTTATACTCAACAGCAGATTAAGCATTTCATCTTTATCTTGCTGTGCTGAAGTACATTTTTCTATGATTAAATACCTTAAAGTAATGATGTTGTATTTGATGTACTAATTTATAACAACAGCAGTTACGAGTACTTTCATCACAAGGCTTGAAATTGTATGAATAGTATGAATAGACAGGAGCTGCCAGAATGTTTTCAGCAAATAGCCACATTATATAAATTGCAGGAAATATCAGCATTAATTAAAAACATTGTAAGTATTCACGTTGATTCACAGTGGGAATTTTATATACAACATAGAGATACTTATTGTTGGTAATTAAAATGGCGACCAATTAATCAAATAGAACTGAGGCAACAATGTGCAACAATGTCATTTATTAAAATAAGTTCAAAAAAATTCTAGTATTTTAAACCACTATGCCATGGTGCTGCAAAGGAGAAGCACTTAAATATTTTTGAAATTCCACAAGTAAAGTTGATGTTTCATGCTGGATGAGAGTTCAGTGTGATGCACCGCACAACACAAGGCTGTTTTTTTGTTGTTGTAATTCCTATTTAAAGGATAAAGGGCTGCCATTAGATGAGAACTGCTACCCACTGAAACAAAACCGTCCACACAACTTTTTGCTACACAAAATAAAATGATGAAAAATGTATTTACACATTCTAGCCTCATGTACACGTACAACAGGTCACACTACCTTTAAAAGTTGCAGTTTTGGTAAGGGCATTCTGTGTCCTAATGATCTCAGTACTCTGTTCTTCCAGTGATCCCTCAATTGTGACTGATAATAAAACTGAAAAGGAATCCAAAACACAGCTGCTATTGAGTCAATGTAATGCAAGACCACTGATCACTGAAAGGAGCGTAAAGAAAGGAGGAAAAAAGCTACTTTCTTTGACATTACAGACGGCCATGAAAAGTCTTTGTTTTGTAGTGAGGCCAGGGTCTCCATCTCCAGCCGTTTACTGCTTACAGATTCAAGTGAGTGGAAAGATTTCACTTCTTTACAGGAACCCCATCTGAATAGTCCTCCAGTACTCCAGCCAGATGGTTGTTGTGGGTCTTGAAGTGTCTCTTCCTCTGCCCACCTTGCTTCTTTCTCTTTTGAACTGGTAACTGCGTGGAGCACAGAAACAAAATCAGCACTGATTAAGAAGCTTGATTAAGTACAAATGCCACTATTGAGAGCTAAAGCCGTTATTTCTATTAAAAATAATTAGGGCATGTTTATTTAAATTTGATAAAATGAAAATCAAGCAAATGAGAGATTTTTTTAAGAAAGACACTAACCACTTTCTTTGGTCCTGTTTCTTGCATGGAGGAGATTCCTTGTTTTTTCAGATACTCCTCAATCTTCTCTTCATCCATTGAGTCAACTGGAACACTCCTCCACAGCTTCTGAAATTCTGTAGTTGAAAAGACGTGTCAGCGAGAAGTAGACTGAAGAGGTGGGCACTCACGTGGCACCAAACATAAAATAACAGACAAAACAAAGCAATCAAAACCATTTTAATGTACATCCAATGCACTGATATCCTATCAATAATATTAAACACAAAAACTAGGGGCATTAATACAAAAACTAAATGAACACTACTGAAACCACAGAAAGAGAAATCAAGGTCGACATAAATGTGCCAATTTTATTTTGCCAAAGAAGTCGGATATATCAGAGTTCTCCTGTTGCAGTTACGGCTGGGATGTTGACATTACTGGAACTTAAAATTGAAATTGGGGTCTGAGTGAGTGGGCACAGACTGTACTTAATGAAAATCAGTCTGACCTTCCTTTTCATTCCTATAGTGCACTCAGACCAAATTTGGCTTCCCATTATTTCTGTGTGAGATTTGGCAGGACACATCTGTGTCCAGTCAACCCACCTCCAGATATAAAAAGCTTGTTTTTCAGACCAGATGGTAAAACAGAAATATTTAATTTGCACAAAATAATACATTTATTTTACACCTACATATATATAAAATAGAGAAAGGCAAATCTAAACCCAAACCTTTGTTCAAGTTGGGTGATTTGTATTCTTTTTATGACAACCTAAACAATCTATTTGACTTAAAAACCAAAGCATTAAAATACAGAGACCCAGCGAAGGACAAAGACAGCCAAGACAGACACCAGCACAAAGAAACAATGAGCCATATCACAAGTGACAGACAAGGCTGACAAACGCTCACCTTCATCTACTGCAAACTGGCAATGCTTGTCATTGTAGAACAAAATCTTTTTCTTGTCTGGTCTAGTTACAAAGATGATCTGATCCCCCAAAGCCTGAACGGTCACATGAGAAGTCATTTTATTTAGTCAGAACAGTGTTCACTCATCACATGGGTGGCATCTTTTGGGCAGACATGCATATGTTTTGGCATAAATTCTATTCATGTTACCTTAATGGCCTTGGCTGAGTTGGGCAGTCCCTCCTCTACGTCATCCAGCAGCACGCCCCCCAGGCCCAGCTGGTCGTGTTTGTCCAGCAGCCTCAATAAGGCTTTCTTGTCTTTTAGGTTGTACTTTGGCTTGAAGCCATATGTCCCATCCCGGACATCAATTTTTGGGTTGTTAACCAAGGCCTGAGAGTGGCATGTATAAGTCAAATAGATAAGATTAGGAGATGTGCAAAAGATTAATTTCATTTCATACATTTCACCGAATAAAAATAAACTAAACAGCATGAAAAGTGTGTATTTAATTTTCAAATTATCTTTAAAATATGAAAAAATAATATTCTTAACTTTTACATACAAGCAACCCATTATTCAGATACAGTATTTTCAAGTTTTCTTCGGGGAATGTACTTTAACCAGAACATCTTCAACAAGGTATTAATCGTTGTATGATGTATGTTATCAGCATAATCACTCAATTGCTACTGAGTGGTTTCCTTCTTTCCAAACATGCAGGATGTGTATGTGGGTGACAATTTTTGCTGCATCAGCTGACACATGACTGTGAGGACAAAACAAATACTGTGTAGATTTCAGGTGAAAAAGATCTATGTGCACTCCTGACAATACATGATAAATAAATGGTGCTGAAAACAACAGGGACACACCTCGGTCATGAGCCACTGCTTCTGTTTCATGCTGATGTCAAGTAGTTTGGTCTCATCAAGAATTTCATCTAAGGTCAGGAAGTGTGTGTCACCATTCTGATGCCTTGTCTGGGTGTTAAGAACAGAAAAGTACACAGATTTACATGAAGAAACGAAGCATACACAGTCAACAAATCAGAGCTCTTAATTTATCTATTCTTAGTTATATACCACTGACAGGGTTTTTAGAAAAATGTCTACAGCAATTTAGTGCCTTCCACACAACTGCCAGGGTATTTTGCACAGTTTAAAAGTGTGCATTCAACAGATGGCACGGAAAATGTACACATTCAAAGAAAATCTGTCGAGATGAGTGTGAATTCTGCTGAAAGGGATGAGTCAGGCAGCTAGTGTGACAGAGCCCTGGCTAACTCTTCGTAGAGCCACAGCATGGTAAACAAGCTGTTTACATAGCAAAAGAAAGACAGGGGACCAAATGCTACGCTGCGGACACAAGTGAATCAACTTGGCTGATACAACAGACAAGTCAAATTTTAAAGAGCCTCGATGAAGATGGTGACAAGCTTAAAATCTAAGAATTGAAATTAACCAATTTGAAGTGGAAAAATGCCCATTAGACTAAAACACATCTTTGTCTAAACCAGTTCCTGTTTGCAAACTCTTCAAACATTGATATAGTCAGCTCTAACTTTCTAGAGAAAGTTCCCTATTTAACAAAACAAAATATCTCCAGACATTACCTTCATGTAATTGACTATCTTGGCCAGGCAGCCAAACTTGTACCCAGAGCTTGTTTTGATGTTGAAGTTTCCATTACTCGATTCTGTGGGTTAAAAAAAAAAAAAAAAGTATGAGCAAATCTCACAGTATTTAGTGTAGACTGACACAAGGAAACAATAAAGACAGATGCCAGAGGTATAAAAAAGCCTTTGTTAAAAATGGTTTTTAAATAATCTTTGTGATTTCAAGGCCACCTTGTGTACATTTTTCAAAGTTTTCAAAGTTTAAGTCTAATCATCTAACTGTGCAAACAAAGTTACTGCATATATTATATCTAGTAAAAGGACTACAACAAATTATGCAATTGTTGAATATTCTGTATTTCTCTGTCAATCTCATTTGTTCCTACTGAAGATGTCCTATAAATTAGAGAAAAAATATGTCATTAACATTCTCAGTATTTTACTAGATTTGTGTGTCACTGTAGGTTGTAAGCAAACTTGACCCAAATAAATAGTAAACAGGGTCCTTTGTGGGGGGACTACTTCCAGTTGTGAAGTAACACACATTTGCCAAGACGGTAAGTATCTGCGGCAGCAGGACATGTATACGGGTTTGACTCAAAATATGCTACAGTGGCTATGTTGATGTGTTCCTGGTAGGGATGCATGATATATCGCCGACCACTTCGGTATCGGCCGATATTCGTGTTTTTTCCCATATATCAGTATCGGTCCGATGAACGAATTTAGTCGATGTGAAAAACCAATGAAATGAAATGAAAAATACTTTATTTATCCCAGAAGGGAAATTCAATTGAAAATTGAATTTGAAAAATTTGAATTTGAAAAATTGAATTCAACTGAAAAATTGAAAAATCAATTCAATGATTCATTAGCGCCTTCGTCTCTACATTTTATACTGCTGCGATTTTACAGATGTTTTCACTTAAATGGTAATCGACTTGAACGTTAAATATGTCAAAATATGTTTAAATATGCTTTACTTTTGTTACGTAATAAAGAAGACTATGCTGTCTGATTTGGTTTGGGCTTCTTTTGAATCGCTTTCACATTCTCACAGTGCTTACTTATACTCATTTTGCAGTGTGAACCAAAATTGAATATCGATATCGGTAATATCGGTTATTGGCGATATCACAAATCTTAATATCGGACATCGTATTGATCAGAAATTTTTACATTGTGCATCACTAGTTCACGGTAATGAAGGGGATGTCATTCAGTGCAACGATGTGGCACATCGATAGTTTTTTTATTAGTAAAAATACTACAGGAGCCATATATGAGAACAATCTGATAAGAGTGATTTGAAGTCCAGCCAGCATCACCTATTCTCTGGTTGAGTCCAAAAATGCTGCTCCCACCTGGAAACTGTCTGAGGTCTCGACTCAGCACTCACCAATCAAAGCTGAAAATGGACACTGATTCATGAATGATTCATGGTGTGGGCGGGAGCTTCTGCTGCTGTGAGCTGCAAAGTGGGCGGGACGCTGAAATTGTGACAGGCCGCTTAACGAATGGTGCAGGGGCAGGGCTATAGGAGGAGAGCCAATGATGGAGAGAAGCCTGCCGCCGCTCAGCTGAGACATGAAGAGCTGCAAGGAGTGGCGGAGGACGGCGGCGAGTGCGCGAGCGGAGGCTGAACGTGCATGAGAGTGCTCTGGAGGAAAACAGGTCGAGGAGTGAACGTGGAGGAGGGAGAGAGTGGAAGACCGGGAGATAGGTGGAGCACCAAAAAAAAAAAAAAAGGAGAGTGCATCTGTTGACTTGCATCTTCTATACATTGAGCCAGACACACAGGTGAGTCTGCACATTTTTTTAAGGAAAGGATTATCTTAATAATGATGTGTTTGACATCAACAGATCATAACAATTCACAGTATGGACTTAAGCTACAGGCTGCAAGGCTACTCTTGGTCTCACTGTGAAGCTATGACGATGAAGGTTTTTTTTTTAAATCAGTACTCCAGGATTTACAGGGTAAATCACACCTCTTAAATGCAGTAGATTTGTTCACATAACCAATTCCTTCTGCATTACAGAAATCTAAAATTACAATTCACCATTTGCAGCCATCATTTACAGAAAATGTACTGCAACAATGACTAAGCTAAGATCATTCGATGGCAGCTGTAATATTGAGGCCAAGACAGTACAAGCAGGCAGTGGATTAAATAAACATGGGTCCGTCTGTCTGCACTCTTCCCACTTGAATACCAAGCATCAGAAACTCTCTAAGTGTGCCTGTGTGTGCACTCGTGAGCATCATGTCTCTGTTTGTGGAAATGCGTGGTTCGGTTCAAACTGTAGCTCTAAAGACAAATCAATGAGGGACTGACAGCTGTGGAGAGCCAGCCAGAGGCATTATGAGTGTGTGTGTGAGTGAGACAGTGAGCGACATCCACTGTGCAGAGAGCAATATGTAGCCCTACAACACCTTCAGAGCTCAGCTGGGGTGGGGCTCATTTGGGGTGAGATAACAGATGCTGCAGGGAGCCAATCTGTCCCTGTGTGTGTGACTGCTTTAACAAAACAAAGAGAGACCATGGGGTGAGCAGGCGAGACAAATTAGCAAAAGAGGTTGTTGTCATGGCAATGAGTTGGAGTGAAACTGATATGATGAGCTGGGTCTGTGATAAGAGGATGCTAATCATGGAGCGGGGAGTTAAGTTGCTTTAACTGAAAAGAAGAGGCAAAGCCTTTATCAAATACTGTTGTGTTTCAGTCTGCTACCACAAATCAATAACCTGCTCACAGCGTAAGCACAACTAATTGTGTGTGACAGCCGATACTTCTGTGTCTTATCTCAATTCTTAAATCATACCAGCATAGCATAAGTATGTAGTCAGTTTGCAGGAAAACTTAGAACTAACATATTTTTTGACAGACTGATGCTACACCCATATACTCCCATAAAAAATTCATTCCATGTAACGCAAGAGAGTGCAATGTGAAAAATGCATTTCATACGTTGTCTAAAAGAAACTAGGGAAGGAAAGGAAACCATGTCTAGAAAGTGTATGTCCAGTAAATGCATCTATATATTTGACCACACAGAACTACAATTTAAAGCTGCTTTCTCAATAAATGTAAGACTCGACATACTAGGACAGTTTAGAATACCAACACAAGACTATATTTGACCCATTGGTCCTGAGCTGAAAATGTGTGATCTCTTGAGGTAGCTAAAATGTCTCACATAACAGTTTCAGGCAACAGAAAACCAAGTTTCACAAAAGAAGGACTCACACACTAACATACAGAAGTCATAATAGCGTGACACAAATTTATCCTACATACATAAAAGCATGTGTTTAACATACAGTCAGCCCAGTTTGTGTTTAACATCATGGAAGAAATAGACACAAAAAACAGGATTAGTTAACTGTGCTCCTCTTCCTTAACTTATTTCTGTGGTCCACTCAAGTAAACTGGGTCAGCTCCCTTGGTCTCAGTACATGAGCATACAAGTGCGCTTTTAAAAGCATGTATGTGCACATGTGTGTGGGCAGAGATACTGGTATACTGTTCCCTGAGGAGTTAAAATGGTAGGCGTTGGCTGACAATGAATGGAAAGCTGAAGGGAGACAAATGGTCTGACAATGTGCGCATTGAAGAATATCTTTTAACTTAATTATTATGCTGCACTTCCTCAGCTGCAACAATTGTGTCAAGTGTTACGGTCAAAGAGTCACAAAGCAAGTGAAGATGCTACATTTCACTGTGTAGATATCCTTTGTTACCAGGCTTTTAAGTCTATTTTTGTTCTGAGCAGATGGTCTCAGTAGGGTTTCTCTTCATTTGCAATATAACCTTTTGCTCTAGAGCACTTTGTCTTCTCATTTAACTAATAATGCTTTCTGTAATGACAGATGTAGGCTTGGGTTTATTTTGTTTATACTGACACTGCAATTTACCTTACTACAACATGACAAACTCTATGACTAGTAATCATGTAGTATAACAATAATCACATTACAGCAAATTACTTATGAGAAGCGCTGATGCTTTTATGAGAGGAAATGGGTTTCCCTCTGCGACTGTGCTCTTTGCTGAGGCTATGTCTCTTCCCAACAGCGGTATGTTCATTTTGTACATGATATATAAAAATAATTACTTTTTTTGTTTCGTTTTTAATATTTAGAATTACTGGGAGCAAATGATGCCCTAAAGAGCACTTCTTCCATTATGTTAAGTTTTAATCAGTCTCTTACCATGACATTTTTTTTTACAACCATCCCTTTGATTTTCTAATTTGATCTACAGTGAATCCCAGAACCAAACAGCCATATCCTTTAACAACTTTCTTCTTGTTTGCTGTTGTTTCCAACCAGAAATCATGGCCAACATGACAACAACTATAAACCCAAGCAATGTCCCAGGGCACCTGGAGGCCGTCCCTCTATCCCGCGTCTCCCTGCAGGTCCAGGAAGTCTACCCATTCCATGATGGCTGGAATGTGGCCTGTTTCGTCATCCTTCTGCTTTTCATCCTCACCGTCTTGTCCCTGGCAGCTTTGGCTGTGCTATACGAGCTGCTGGACTGTGGGTGCTGTGCCAAAGGGAAAACGCACCACCAGCTACAGGAGGAAGGGCCGGGAAGCTGCAGCAAGCTCATTATGACCAGCATTTGCAAGGAGCCAGAATCCCAAACAGAGGTGGTATAGGGGCAGCAAGGCATGAAGAAAATTGCAAAGTAGGAATTTGGGTTTCACTGCTGAATCCACAATACAACAGTGCTGCCCCTGATCCCCTAAAAAAAAAACAAAAGACCTTCTGAAAATGACTAAAAGTGGTTCAGTTGTTCACAGTTAGGAGGATGTTGAGAGAAGAGACAAAATATGAGAGTAATGTGGAAAAAGGAAGAGGACACTGGTTTGGAGCGAGTCTCATTAGCTTTTCATTTCAGTTAAGAGGGAATCACTCCACATCTACAGCTGACCCTGAAAGCCATAGTCTACACCAGAAATAACACTAGAAGAAAAACCAAGCACCTGAGTAGAAATACTACAAATTGTGTGGCCTGAAAAACTCAAATTTCCAATGCTTAAAAATGAAGGTTGTGGAAGAATGTGCCACGCTAAATGAGCCCTTTCTTGCTTTGTTTTGTTATATGAAGTCGCATGGCCAAAACATGGCAACAAAGAAAAAAAAAAGAAGAAAAAAAACAGATTCTGACCCATATCAGCAAATTTATAAACAAGCATTCCTGCTAAACATCAACTACCCTGCAAGTACTACACATACTTGTGACCTACTAGATGCAAGTTAGCTTCTATTAGACATGTTGTATATATAAAAATACTGTCCAAATCTAAGGACATGAATATCCTGGTTTAAACTGATCAGGCTTAGGTGGACATCATCATTGCTTTGGATAAAGACTGTATTTCCCTGTTTTTCAGTAAATTGTATGCCAGTGTTGTCAACATGTTTAGCATTGCAACATTATCTTCTGACAAGTTTGGTTGCTGCACAGTGATGTACTTTATGTCATATTGAGCACAATGTATAATTTCATATGCCTTACCACAAAATGCCTAATAAATTGTCACTGAATAACGTATGTTTTTTTTATGCCACGAGTGGGAGCTGCTTCTTGGTAAGTATACTGAGTGAGTAAGGCTGTGAAACTTGGGATGCTAAGAGGCCACTGCTCAAAATTAAAACAGTTGACATACAAAAAATGCCCTACATCCAACTACAACATGGTTGGTTGTGACATCAGGAGTAAATCTCATTTGGAAGAACTACTCATATTTTGAGAACAATGTTTGAGCAACCTAGAAAACCTGAACCATCAGTGAGCGGTATTACCTCAGTCAGCATAATGTCATAACAAAACGATCTGCAGTGGCCCTATTAATATTCACAGAAAAACGATTCGACAAAACAAATTCTACGCGTCAATCATTCAGCAAGGCAAGTCACAGCTTTGTGAGCGCAGAATTAGATTTGTGCATGAGGGAAAACAGATTTACGAGCCTAAGAGATCATTTGAAAATGCATGAGGAACTGTGCAACTGCATCTGAGTGAGCAGTGAGGATTCTCAGGCTTGTAATGAAGACAGATGCTCGCACAGATTTTTGAGAAGCACTCTGAGTGAGAGCAGAGCATCGTCTTTTCAATTTGTCCTGGAAGTAAAGGGACATCCTATGAGCTACTCCCCTCTACTTTCAAAATAAAGGCTGGGAGAATAGTTTTTAGCCCAATTTAAGCCTATATAGCAGAGTATTGTTGAATGTCAACTATATATAAGGCCCCTCTCCACTCAAAATGGATTTTGGATGTTTGACCATTGCTGTGCAAAATGATTAACAGTGATGATCTAAAACATTATGACTATTCCCAAATCAAGTGAACAACAATTACCGAATACCAATCAAGGTCTGGGATAAATTAGTATGGTGGATATGGGAGAAACTGACAGACATGACGACATAGCCACTTTGACAACGCCAAAATTATTCTGTCCATACAACTAAGATCTCTGACATGGTAAGGCCTGTGGGGTGCTCCCAGCACTTATGAGTACTTACTGACAGCAGTCCAAGGAAGGGCAAATGAATGTATCATGCTAGCATCTTGGTACCGGACACCACAGGGCACATCAAGAGGTCTAATGGAGTCCATGGCTTGGGCTCATCAGTGTATCATAAGTGTGTTGTTTAGAGTTTGATACTGGAATACTGAACTTTTTCTAAACTTTTTGTAAGTGGAAGTTCCTCTAAGCTCAACTAAAATCTGACTTCAAGACATGTACATGCAAGCAGGATTTGTGAAACCCCAAAGCAACCTAGGTCAATAAACAACTCATACTTGTTTCGCACAAACAGTGAAAGAGGCCATACAATGATGTAGCAGACATTTTGTATCGACTAGTTCAACTCTTAAAAAGGAAAATATTGGCGTATTCACAGGTTCCAGATTTTTGTATAAGGGAGAAGGTATATGTGTTAGTTTTAGAATTTCTAACCAGGCAGATTAACTTTTTTAATCATGTTCCAGGTTACTGATTAAAAATGGTTGGCAACGAGCTTTTTGTGATCGCAGGTGTTCATAAGCTGCCAAAACAGCAAGGGGAAAATATAGAGAGAAGAGTCAGAAACAGGAGTGTGCATGTTCGAGACCACACACTCAAACTGGATTCTGCTTTTACCAATCTGTGCCCCTGAATTCTCCTGACTTGCAGACTAAGTATCTCTAGAATGTGTTTTGTACTCTCTCAAATGATTTATTGCCAATATACGTTAATAGGCACATTGCTGTTACCACTGAAAATTCCAGCAGCAACGGATACCATACATAACCAACCAAAGACAATTCATTTTAAGAAAATATGCTTCACTTACCAGTGCTGTGTTTGGACCCCGAGGAGCTCTCCTTGTCTATTTTAGGTTTCTTCTTCTTGTGTGATCCAGACTCTGACGTAGCCTGTCTCTTCTCAACGGCTGGAGTGGAAAGGGCCCTTTTCTTGAACAGTTCTCTCTCCCTCAGCAGAGCTGGATCCATCCTGAGTGCAAAATGTATTAAAAGACAGAAACAATCAAATAAGGACTTTAAAAAAAAAAAAAAGAAAGAAAGAAAGAAAGAAAGAAAATTCAACACAGCTCCTTTTGGATTGAAAATTTTGTGCAATTTTGATTTTTCAAATAATTAATTGGTGATTGCTGTATCTTTCTAAACAAAATCTTAAGGCAGACATTTCGTGCAAACAAAATACTCATTGTGCACTGAGAGAATTGGAAAGAATCAGACCATTTATGTATCTTTACAGATGCATCTCACTAATGTACATTTGAATTAAACAACGTGGGAGCAGCAGACAATAAATGTGCTTCTTAGTTCTTATTAACACCATCACCCCTACTTTTTGTCTCTCTATCCTCTGTTGTCCATTTGAATCAAGTATATTGCACACAGCAGATAAGGCAGCTCTCCTATTAACACATACAGCCAAAACCCAACCAGAACAGCTACCAGTCCCAGCAAAATGTCAACTGAAATAATAAAAGAGCTCGATTATAACAAAGGAGTCATTTACACAGCAGGGCCCACTAGCACTCCATGTGTCTAACTTAAGCCTTTTGGGGGGTCCAAGGGCTCCGGGGTAGTTGCCTGTTTTGCATTTGGTAATCAAGGCTTGCCTGGAATCAATCACTCTATATAAAATTGTGAATGAGAGCGTCTCTCTCACTCTGTGTGGACCACTCCAAGCACAATCTAACAAATAAGCTAAGAAGACATAGCTTTGTGTTGTATAAACACAACAGAGCAGATCAGAGTTCTTACACCAATTTCAAGTAAACTGGCGCTAGAGGAAAAGGTAACGAGCTACAGGCCCTAAAACGTAATACCTACTTTTCGCTAAAGGTAACATTAGCCAGTTAATTTTCTAGCCAGATTATAAGTAGCTAGCGCTAGTTAGTCAGGATGGTTCTAAATTAGCATGGCATTGTGGCTTTATTGTAATAATGTCAATCCCGAGATGGCCACAACCAGCGTTATCTCCTTAATTTAATGCTACTCTGAACAATAACACGAATAAACAAACGTAACGACACAGTCTGTCACATAGTAGTTAACCTAGCGTTAGCAATGAGGTTATCTCAGTGAACGTTACCTGACACTTAGTTCCTGTTCTCTCTCGGAGAAACTGACAGGTTAGTCCAAGAGGACTAACTAATTACGACGGATACAAAACAGAACGCTTCTTTTAGCAAAACTCAGTCTTTGCCTTGTTCCTTAAATGACGATATAAGTTAACGTTAGCTAACTAACTTCACACATCATTCTTTTCTCATGCTGCGCTTCCGTTTCTTGTTCGATTCGTCGGGAATCGACAGCGAATCCTTGGACGACGTCATTACGTAAAATGATTCACACAGACAACAGAGAGCATGCGCACGATGCCAGCAATGCAATTGTTGAAAACAAATTGGAAAATACATAAGGGAATATGGGTGATGAGCAACAGGATGGATTTTTGAAGTAAAAAGATGTGCCTTTCTTCAAATGTTGCTACGCTGTTTTTTTTTTGTTTTTTTTTAACGGACTGGAAAAAGAAAATAGAAAACAAAAACAGTACTTGTTGCTTGGGCAAAAGTGCGAGTCCCCTTCGTGTTGTCAGTCTCTCAATTGCTTGTTCAGGACAAGCAAAACAGATCAAAATTTGTAATTGAAAACTGGAAGGGCTGGGTACCTTTTCTGACTGCTCAACCTTGTGGTAACATTCAACAACCAGGAATCCATCTGATGAACTGACTGAACATCTAAAAAAGAAGGGACATGCGTTTTTGGAACGATTTTCCTGAGGAATATATACGTGTGTGTGTGTGTGTGTGTGTGTGTGTCACCTTTTCTTTCCTTTTCTACCTTTACATAATTGACATTATGTTGGTTTTCTACACCATGTTGTGTTTTTATACATGTGTCTTTTATTTCAAGATGATTTTCAACTTGTCTGTTTTATTTTACTGCCTTGTGAAGAACTTGGAGTGCTCAATACATAAAGATTACTTTTATTCTTACAAAGCAATCAAAGGCTATAGAAAGATATCAGCGTACTTCTAGCTGAAAGTGTCTATTTTTTCAGAAAGTCTTAAGAGGAAAGTATGAAAGACCAAGACAATTTTCCGATAAAACTGTGCATCTGCTGGACAGGAGGGCACAGCAATCTGCCATATGAATGCAAAAGAGTTGCACAAAGGTTTAGCTGGCACAGGCAGACAGGCAGTGGTGTAGTATTACTGCAATGACAGGGTCTGCATGAAAGAGTTGCCAGAGGGAAATCATTGTATAAAACAAACAAGGATTTAAGGCAACACCTGGATAAACAAGTGTCATGTGGAAACAATTGCTGTGGAGTAAAAATACAGCTCTTTGACCACAATCACTAAGCTAAGCTTAGAAGAAGCAAATCATGAAGCAGCATTTAATATGCATTGTGCTTTTGGGACCAGTGGTACAGGAAACATTGCATGAATAGAGGTTCACTTAAATATCAACTAATTCTGGATGCAAATGCAGTCAATCAAGAAACTGCAACTGAATAAAGTCTGGCTTCTGATTATGATCCAAAGCAAACCTCAAAATCCACCATGAACTACTTCAAGAAGCACAATCTGGAGCTTCTGCAAAGAATCCCACAGTCCCTGACTTGAACCTCATTGAAAATCTGTGAGTAGAGTAAGAACCCACTGTGCATGGAAGACAGCCTAAAAATATTCCAGAACTTCAAGTGATCTGCAAGGAAAAGTGGGTTAATTTACCCACTGAATGTAAGCATGAAGCCAACAACCACAGAAGACAGTCTGATGAAAGAGGAGGCAGATTTAGAACTAGCTCAGTACAGTTTCATTTAATGCCAAATGCTTGTGTTTTTTTTTTTTTCTCTCCCCAGTGCACTTGGCAAGACGCATTTAAAAAACAAAACAAATTATGAATGTTAATTTTACAAGACACACAAAAGTTTAAATTATAAAGGTATTATTTGCAAGGATAGTTAATTCAGAATATTAAAATATACTTTAGCTTTGGGGTGATAAAGGAAATGCAAGAT